GAATTATACTCTCTCGCCCTGAACTTCTGTAGGGCATTTCTATTTGTCTAGTTTCCGTTGAACTTCATTTTGGTTGTAAACTAAAGTCTTCCTTAGAATTGCTCTATTATTGCCCATGTAGCGTTGGATTTAAAGCTAGAGGCCTATTTCAGTAAAATGTGTGCTTTTATGTGCATGCTGCCAGTTAGACTATTATTACTGTGTTTCGACATGTTGAAATTTTGGGAAAAGTTTGTTTTTCAGGAGAGACTGTCAAAATTTAGGTAGAAGCCTCGACCCTATTTTCCTTTGTTTTAGGGGAAGAGGATGTTTGAAATTAGTAAATGGGCTAACTATCGGTTGGATGTCAAAAAAACTACAGGATTCGTCACAGATTCAGAGGAATTCGAGGTAGGTGGGCAACCCATCCATCCCTCTGTTTATTATTATTATTTTTTCATTTTAGATTTCATATTATTTTATTTTGCAATATTTAATTATTTTTACATTTTACATGACTAATTTGCCCTTAAATTTAACGGCAAATTGGGATAAATGTTAAGAATTTAAATGGGAGCAAATTGGTGAAAAAAAAAAGTTAATATTCTTAATATTCTTTATAAAAAGGATATGGGTCAATGAAAATTAAGTACAAATTCAGGGCCAATCACGAGTTTAGTGTTTTGGTAATCCCAATATTTGCGTACTTGGAATTGGGTATGCCCTTTGAAGTGTTTACGAATTCTCAAATCGAAATGAGAGTAAAGTCTATTAACATTGAAATATTTATGAACTTGCAAGAATCGGAATAAAAAACGTATATGTCCTTGTATTTTGTTCAACTTACTTATGGATTAAAAATTTAAGATGATAATACGGCATCTTAATCAAGACTAGTGGGAGAAGCAGCTGATTAGTATGTTGCATTATTGTATAGATAAGGATGAAACAACGAGTGGCAAGTAATTAACGTCCAATTAAGATTTTAAAACACCGTAATACGGCGGGACACAAATTGGGCCCCTTGTTTTCTCAAAATCGGCCTTTTAGGGTCTTCTGAAGATTCTGTTGGCGTATTTGTGTACAAAATCTATTGATGTCTTCTCTAAAATTGATAAACTGTATAGAGGGAGAGAGATGTGAACGCATCTACTTCATACAAATGAGAAAGAAGATTTCTTACTCGAAATTCATCTACTTTTTTTTGTTTTGTTTTTTTTTCAAGTTGGTCGGTTAACTTGTTTTTCTTGGTTGATTGTCCAATATTATATCAAACTAAATTGACAGTTATCGTTCCAGTCCAGTGTTCAACTATTTGTCATAGGAGAGGGGGTTTCTTACACACACACTACCAAAATGTCATAGGAGTTTGAACCTAAGACCACTAGTCTGCAAGTCAAGGCCAATTTCCATTGAGCTATATCCCATTAACAATAAAAAGAGAGATGTAACATATATTTCTATACAACTTCTTTTTTTTGGGTTCAAATCTATATACCTTAGAGGAGTGTTTTTAACACATCTTTGGTTTAGCCGCATCAATTTCGTTAATAACCGGGCATCATAAGATTATAGCCCCACAAAGGGCTCTTGTAAACAATAAAAGATACAAACAATAACTACAACTGTTGCATGACAATGCGCAAAAACAATTTTATATCTTAAAGACCTAGCTCATTAGGAACTGAAAACATAAGAGGATTCATAAAACCACTACATTCGGTGTTGTATATGGTGTCACTTATCTATTCCAGCGAATATAACTAGTGGCGGATCTACAGAGGTGCAAGAAAGTGCAGTTGCATCTCTCCTCATCAGAAAAAGCTTTGGAGTCACCGGAAGTTACCCCTTTGGTCTATCTTGAAGTTGCCCACCAAATGTTTGATTAAATGACTGGGCGACTTGTTCTTTTCTGTTCTTTGTTGAGTTGCTGTGCGCAGTGCGCATTTGTTTGTTTGTTTTATTTATTTTTTTTAATACAGTTAAAAAAACAAATGATGAAAAAGAAGAACAAGGGCTGTGGTTTTTTGTGGGGCCGTGGGTGGGCCTATTTTCCCTGTGGCCCATTGGCCCTGTGGAGTTCGTTAACCTGGTCACTTTCATGTCACTCCACCCCTGTAGGCCACCAGCATTCGCCATCAACAGCAAAAATTCCTTCTTTAAAGATAATAACCCACCACAATTCATTAATTTGTTCCCTCTCTCCATCCATCTATATTTGTTAATAATCTGAAACTTAAAATTTCAATTGGCTCCCATATGAATTAATCGAGATATGTTTGGCGTGGAGTGCATCCATATGGACTCAAGAAGGTTACGCAGAATTTGGACCCCATGGAGAATTGACATGGGAAATTGAATATTAATTTTTCCAGTACATATATAATTGAATATTAATTTTGAATAAAGAAGAAAATTTATTATGAGTCATGACAATCAAGGAAAATATTGTTTAGCTTTATTTGAGTGAAACTATACTTTGTTAAACATGACTACACTAGTCAAAACATTGCACCACCGTTGAAAATTTTTTGAGTCCGCCAGTGAATATAATTGTCCATATATAGCTGACATAGAAAAAGAGGTAAAGGTCATCTTAGCTGGGCATTCAAATGACTAAAAACAGTAATTTTGCTTGTTTCGGTATAATTAGTGTATCGACTTCAACCTTTGTTTATTGCTAAAACCATAAGGAATTTTATACATTTATATAGCCTAGAGTGGTGTTTTGTTTACAAATAATCTGAATACACAAAATAGTTAATCTTCAGAAAATTAAAAGAAAAAATGTTAGTGTCCTATTATTTTTGTGTGTAAAGAAATAAGAAAGAAGAACAAATGACTACGCTGGACCGCTAATGCATTATGCATGTATGCCAAGTAACACCTAGCTCATGACACTTGTCAATCATGCATGTAGACTATCCAGAACCAATCATCGATAAATACTTCGTCTTATTTTTTTGCCTCATTATACTTTGTATGTAACCTCAACTATCCATTTATGGCTGACAGAAAGAGAAAGGTAAAGGTAGTTTCAGGAACTTGAATTAAAAATGGCAGTTTTCCTTGTTTTGGTATAATTGCATGTATGGCATGAAATAGCTAGCTCATGACGCTTGTCAACCATGCATGTAGACCGATATCCTCGATATTGCCAGATTTTTCTTGTATAAATGTATTTGTTTTGTGTGGTATGTAGCACTACTTTACCCTCACCGACTGATCCCCACAAGATTGTTTTTTTTCATTATTTTCTATGAGTTTCCCTCACTTTTCTTGAGCAACCCAAAGTAATGAACCAGAACAACCGTGGCGGTGTTTCCGATTATGATGTTTTTGCACCTTCAACATTATTTTGCTCTGAAAAATAATGTTGTTGTTTTGGTGGTGGTGGTGGTGATACAACAACAGGACCCAATTGTAGTTCGACCAAAACCAGCTCATGACCTTAACAACCAAATATTATTGCCTGCAAGAGGCAACTCACCCCAGGAGCGCAATCAGCTAGTCCTTGTGACTACTGATGATCAAGATCAGCCCAAACCGAGGCGTGGCCCGGGAAGACCCAAACCTAGTCGTATACACACATTGTCAGCAGACTGGCAGATACTGTTGACATGAGTCTCCTAATTAATTAAGGAGATTTACTTCCTTGATTAATTAAGGGATTTATTTTCCTATTTTTATATAAGTGATAAATCATTGTACAATTAGGAGATAATTTCCTAATTCTTTACTGTATCTAATTCTTTATAAAACCCTATTGTAAACTCCTATATACCTCCTTATGGAGAAAAATAAAACTTAACCCAAAGTATTCAAATCATATTCATATTTTAGTATGGTATCAGAGCAATCGATTCTAGGTTGTCTCTAAACCCTTATCTCAAATTTCTCATATTCAAATCCAAAACTCTAAATAAAATTCCTCATATTTTTCCATAAATTCAAATCCCTCAAATCCTCTTATCCAAATCCCTAAACACATACACTCAAATCTTATACACATACCTCTCAAATCCAATTCCTACATCAAATTCATACATCCCATTCCTCAAATCAAATTCCTCCAAACACAATTCCTCACATATCACATCTTACTTCTGCTGCGATGTCAGGAATCCCTACAATTCTCCTCCTTACTGCAGACTCACAGAAGCATGCGGTCAATCCTGTTGACCCGGCTCCCCAGACTCATTCTTCTATCGCCACCACCAAAGGTTCTACTTTTCATACGTCCTCTCAAAACTCAACATGGATTATCGACTCGGGTGCTATGGATCACATGACATTTGATCATGGCCAACTTATTAGTCGTAAATCATCCACTCCGTCTGTGGTGTCTAATGCTAATGGTACCCCCTCCCCTGTGGTTGGGGAGGGTTCTATATCTCTCTCTACTTCCCTACATCTGAATTCTGTATTACTTGTTCCATCTGTGAACCATAACTAGTTATCTGTTGCCCAACTTACTACTACTTTGGGGTGTACTATAACATTTTGGCCGAATCATTGTGTTTTTTAGGACATCTTCATAGGAAAGACGATTGGTTGTGGTACTCGGCGGGCCAAACTCTACTACTTGGACTGGGCACCGGATAGTGAGATCAAGGTTGGTCAAGCTTTCACAACCAGTGGAACTCGTTCTGAGGGGGGAGAGAGACAAAATTTGGTTATGGCATAAACGTCTTGGGCATGCCTCGTTCGGTTATCTTAAGAAGTTGTTTCCATCATTATTTTCCAATCTTGATGTTTCCAGCTTCCAATGTGATACGTGTGAATTGGCTAAAAGTCATCATGTCCCGTTCCCATTAAGTTCAAATAAGAGTTGGTTCCGTTTTCTCTAGTGCATTCTGATGTTTGGGGACCCGCTCAAATTGCCACTCCGACAGGGGCGCGATGGTTTGTCACGTTTATAGATGATTGCACACGCATGACTTGGGTTTCCCTTCTCAAAACTAAAGGGGAAGTCAGTTCAAGGTTTCAACAGTTTTATCAAATGGTGGAGACTCAGTTTCATGCCAGAATTCAAGTTCTTCGTTCTGACAATGGCGGAGAATTTCTCAACCATGATCTTAACCAGTTCTTACAAGATCATGGCATCATACATCAACGCTCATGCCCTTACACTCCCCAACAGAATGGGGTGGCTGAAAGAAAGAACATACACTTATTGGAAGTCGTTCGTGCCTATCTCTTTTGTGCCAATATGCCATGATCCTTTTGGGGCGAAGCCGTCGTCTCTACAGCATACCTTATCAATCGGATTCCCTCTAGTATCCTAAATTTCCAAACACCACTTCAAACACTTCACCACCATATCCAAACACCTCCCACCCCAAACCTGGAACATCGAATTTTTGGTTGTGTTGTATTTGTCCACTTACATGATCACCAACGAAGCAAATTAAAAGTGTGTTTTCATTGGCTATGCACCTCATTAGACAGGATACCGGTGTTATCATCCTTCTAGTCAGAAGGTTTTTACCTCCATAGATGTTGTGTTTCGAGAACATGACTTATACTTTTCACTAGCCCAGGAGGAGAATCGAGGATCCACCACTGCTCCAATTCTCGATTTTTTTCCCCAGGATGTCACTCTGCATCAAAGTGACCGGTTGCCAATGGAAAGCAACCGGTCGCCCCCCTTAGTTCTTCAACTACAAAGAACCTGCTTCAAAATGACCAGTCGCCAGAAGAAAATGATCAGTTGTCTTCACGAGGTCAAAAATCAAGAGGAGGAAATGGAACCGTTTTATGAGATTTTGCCTGCTTCAGCTTTAGTACCACACCAATCACCTGCTGAGGAAGTCATTCAAGTAACATCTTTTCCTGAAACTGATAACACTAATGAAATATCCCATGATGATTTGATTTCAGAAGGCACAGAGCCTACATATTAGCTTCCAGGAAGGAAGAACTGTGGTAAACCTCGAGTACAATATGAAGCATATCTTAAAGCCAAAGGGAAATACCTCATCAATAATTATATATCTCTTAGCAAATTATCAAAGTCACGTGTGCACTATGTGAAGTAGTTGGCTGACATATCTGTCTCCAACAGTGTAATTGAAGCACTAGAAGACCCAAAATGGAAAGAAGCTATGAATGAAGAAATGCGAGCTCTTCAAAAGAATGTCACATGAGAACTCGTGCCCCTACCTCATGGAAAGAAGACAGTATGATGCATGTGGATTTATACTGTGAAACTCAAAGTAGATGGATCCATTGAAAGATATAAAGCTAGATTGGTGGCGAAGGGGTACACACAAAGATATGAGATAGACTACGAGGAGACATTTGCCCCAGTAGCCAAGATTAACGCTATTAGAGTCCTATTGTCTCTAGCAGCAAATCTCGATTGGCCACTACATTAGTTTGATGTCAAAAATGCATTCTTACATGGAGACTTGGAAGAAGAAGTATATATGGACTTACCCCTAGAATGTAATTCAGCTCCTGACAAGAAAAATCAAGTTTGCAAACTCAGAAAGTCATTATATAGGTTAAAGCAATCTGTTAGTATGAAAATAGTGTTGTCATTTCCTAGACTCTAGCATAGGTTGAAAATTAGTGTGTGAAGAATTGTTACTGGACGTTTTGGCACAACTCATTCAACCGCATACATCTAAGGCATGACTTGACCAATATGAGAAACTTGACTTTAGGTAAATCATGACATAATCATGCATTCATTATAGGATTCCGAGTTGTTTTTTTTTTTTTTTTTTTTTTTCACTCAAGTATTTTTATGTTAATCTTATTTTAATAGGATTAGATTTTATCTCTTAAGATTACTTTCCTAGTTGGACTCTATTTTAATTTAAGTTAAAATATTATTTTTCTTCCTTGACTTGAAAAGTACATTTTATTAATACCTAATTGGTCTCCTTGATAAAGATTGTTATCTTGAATAACAATCCTTTGCATAAGCTGACGAATTGAATAGTATTAGTGGTCTCCTTGTTTTTTGACGTTTTTCATCTTGTGCCCATATTGAATCACAACTAATAGTCATAGTTGAATAGGTTTAATGTGAGTTCATATTGCATTAGGTTTAGAAGTCTTAGTTGAATGGGTCTTATAGTTGCATTGGAAGTGTTGTGACGTGGTGTTTCTCTCCAAGTAGAGAAACTGGCTTTGAATAAAAAGGATTGTTGTTCCTTTTCACTGGAAGCTTTTCAAGGCATGAATTTTTGAATATATCGAATCTGTTGTTGAGAAAGTTGCCGTGCTTATTTTTCTTAGATAAGTCATCAAGTGTTCCTTATTTACTTGGTGATTTATCAAATCCTTTCTTCATTCATATTGCATTCATATGCATGTCAGTGACTCATACAGTTGAGGGCACCAAGATCGTGGTGGCAGTTTTCCTCCGGCGAGCTTGAAGCAATCGTGGCCAGTATTGCATTCAACATAAGGAGTGTTGAAGATCATCCTGTCACAGAAGTTGAGTTACGAAGAAGTCAGTAAACATTATCTAGAATGTGTCTAGGATAAGTGTGTGAATACTTCTTGTAATTATCGTTCTCTAGTGGATTTGTATTTGATTGAGGAGTCCCGTGGATTTTCCCCAGATGTGGAGTTTTACTACGTAAAATAATTCTCTGCGTGTTTCTTTATTTTATGTTTAGCATGTTCCATGATTGATAAGCCATATCAATCTTGCTACCGAAGTTTATTTTTATTTATTTTATTATAATCTTAAATTAGCATATTCACCCTCCTCTAGACATTTTTTAGTCATCCTACAGGTATTTTCATTTTCTTTGGTATGTAGTTATAGCACTACTACCCTCACTGAATGGTCTACTCGACATTGTTATTCTGTCAATATTTTCTGAGTTTTCCTAAGTTTTCTTGAGGAAATCAAAGTAAGGAACCAGAACAACCATGAAGGTGTTTCCGATTATGATGTTTTCGCACATTCAACAGTATTTTTCTCTTAAAAATTATGTTGTTGTGGTGGTGCAACAAGACCCAATTGTAGTTCACCTTAAGAACCAAATATTATTGCCTGTAGGAGCCAACCCACCCCAAGAGCAGAATCAGCTAGTGCTTGTGACTACTAGTACTGATTATCAAGATCAGCCCAAACCGAGGCGTGGCCCGGGAAGACCCAAACCTAGTCGTATACACACATTGTCAGCAGACTGGCAGATACAAACTAGAACCCGCCGGAAGGCTGCTACTGCTGGTCGCAAAGACAAGGTCAAACAAGTTTTTTTTTTAATAATGTTATATTTGTCACATATTGATTCATATATTTCATGTCAGTGAATTTAATTCTTTCATACAATAGCCAAAACTAAGACTCTTTCATACCTAATATTTGTGTGCAGTATTATATATGAAAAGTTGATAGAAGTCCAAAAATCCAACCAATAATTGGGTTTAGTCCTCGAATTATTATTTATTGATACAAATCTCTTGACTAGTTTGACATGTTGATTCAAACTTTTGTATTTAATTGATTTGTATTTAAATTTTTTTGTTCCTATTATATCCCTATTGTCTAAAATGAGTAAGATGAGAATTTATATGTAATTATTTTTATTTTTGTTCACCCTATGGTAGGGGTCTAGTATATACTCTTGTAGATAAATTATCCTATGGTGTAGGTATATTGTCATATTGCCTATTGCATATATATATATATATATATATATTTGTTTTTTCATATTTTAGACAATGACTAATAGTATTTTATGTACATTTTTTATAGGTAACATACAATTTTATTTGTCTATTTTTGTATCTGACTTATAGGTAGTCTTCTAATTTATGTTCCTAACTTATAGGTAGTATTCTAATTTAAGTTCATGACTTATAGGTAACACGATTTATCACTAAGTTTTTTTCATTGCTAATAAGAACACTATTTACCCGTATGTTAGGTACCTAATTTAATGTGGATGCTTGCCTAATTGATTAGTATAATATGTGGGCCTTTACTTCAATTGATTAATCGTTTTGGACCTAGATATAAGAACCCCTATTATATAAGCCCAGAAGGAGAACAGTATCGATCCCTGACGGAAGTCTTACGCAGCCTGGGTATTGAAGAGGTATCGTGTTGATTGTATTTGCATTAATTACTTAATTAATCTCATGATTTGACTGTACATCTTACTGAATTTGTATCTGATTATGCAGAAGGATATAGGAGTTGGGTTTGATCTTAATCTTAAGCCAGAGGGGTGCTCACAGATTGTGGCGCAAGAGCGAGGACCTAGCAATGAAGACGACGACCAAACAGGTCCTCTTGCTCAAATTGAGGACATAGGTCTAGGACGGTGAACTCCTATAGCTAAGGAAAAATCTCCATGTACAGCAGGGATCGAGTTTTGCGGGACCATTTTCACAGGCCTAGGATTTTGCTTGTTTTGGATTGATTAAAATTTTGTTTTATTGGGTGTACATAACTGATGAGTTTCATTTTGAGACTAAAAAGATAAGTCTATTTTTGAGATATTTATCAACTCGAAGACATCACGATTGGGAGAAATATGTTGGCTTAGTTTGACGTAATCTAACAAGAAAAAACAAGATTACTAGTATTCAGACCAAAAGAAAAAAAAACAAAACAAGATTACTTATTAAACAGAGATGTGCACACACATAATAGCAAAACCAAATACAATCGCATCGATTAATATTCATATGTTCATCCATCCATGAATTCGCTGTTAGTTGGACTGTGATTTATTGTGAGGGAAAACCCGAATTGGAAGTCCTTTGGTAGAAACAAGCGCTGGGTTCCACACGAATTTCTCGTCAGGAAAAACCTTCTCCCATCTGTATCTGGTGACAACGTTGTGCATGAACACCAACATTTTGAGCCGAGAATATTCTTTGCCTGGACACATCCGAGGTCCTCCTCCAAAAGGAACAAATGAGTAAGGAGGTGGTCCTTGTCCCTCAAACCTCGACGGATCAAACTTTTCTGGATCTGGGAAGTACTCTGGGTTTTTATGTGTCGAATGCACGCTCCACTTCAGCTGCATCCATCTATATCCATGTATACATACATGTACAAATTAATTAAAAATTAAAAGTCTCACAAGAAAAGATAATTTAAATTAAGCCAATCATTCAGTCCAATGTCTGTCCCCTATTATAAGGTCAATATGTTGCTAATCCATGCATCTTAATTTTATAGTATGGGTGGACCACAATGTTAAGAGTTCCCGCACGGTGAGTATCCACACTTATATAACAAGTGAACGAGTTATAAGTGGCAATACTCCAGGGATACAATATTATTATTCTGTGAGTTCTTATTGTCACTAAAAAAACAATAATATTGTACTTCTCTTTTATAAATCCATAATGTCTTGCTCTTTAATGAGGGAAATTATGACTTTTTTTTGGATTGTAAATAAAGATTCTTTAAAATATAAATGAAATAAAATTATATTTTATGTTACCTTCATTCCTTTTGGAATCAGATATCCTTCATAGACGAAGTCGGAAGTGGCTTCCCTAAAAGTCCCGGAATTTGGTGGCAACAATCGCATAACTTCACATGCCACGCTCCATGAATATTTCATCTTTTGTATATCCGCCCAGTTCAACAGCTCTCCTGCTGCTTTTGACTCTGCAATCTGCCTTTGCTCTGTTTCAGTTTCATTATCCACCCACAAATTAATCCCAAATTTTTTAGTCACAAAACACGTAATTAATCAAGGATTTGATTGACAATATCTTCATTCAAGTACGTAAACTATTATATTAGTTGAAATACTTGCAATAATGTGTCTATTTCTATAAATATTTATTAATCTTGGAATTGGCCCTAAGACAGCTACCAAATCTCGATAGTCAAAAGATTCTCTCAAAAGAAAAGGATCGATCAAATAAAATAGGGTTAGTCTAATTTGATCCACCACATTAAAATATCATATGATAACTAAAACAAATTTATAGTTGACTACCTAACCAATAATTATACCAATAAACAATTATTGTGATTCCCCTTTGTGATTAGTTTTGTATTGACATTTTGTGGCTAGTAGCTTTTTCGGCTAAATCATGAATGCAGTCTTAGAATTTCTCAAAGAAAAAAAACCAACAATGATATCAACCAGCAACTCGAAACTAAATTCTTTATTTACAATTATATCAACCAACAACTATAACCTTATCATTATAGACAATTAAGTAGGGAACTGGGGATAAATATACCATAAACCTCAATTAATTAATATTTAAAAAATGCACCTGCTGGTCAAATTAACCACATGCTACACTTTATGTGTTTGTGACTTCAAATTTAATTAGAGAAATAACTCATCTAACATTTACAACTCAAGTTAACACCTACACTATTCATGGTCGTGAATATAAGAATGACTTAGATCATGATCATCATTGAGGGATCAATACATGACTATGACTAATCTATGAGCACGACTTAATTAGATCTTGATATTCATCAATTAGCAGTTAATTGAAATCCATAAGAATGAATGATTTTATAGGTTACGAAGGACGGCATCATAGACATGAGGAAGCTCTGCTAGACACATGACAATGGCAGCCAACGTGCTGCTGAAAGTGTCATAGCCACTAACTATAACGCCGTACAACTTGCTGGCAATCTCCGAGTCGCTCAGCCCTTGCCCGTCGCTACTTGTGTCCATGATCAAGCTGGACAAAATATCTAAACCATCAACATCTTCGTCCACCTTACGAGTGGAAAGATGTATCCTCCTTTGAGTGACAATATTCTTAATTTCTTCCCTGAGTTGCCTGGACCCTCGAATCGCACGGTTAAACTGCGTGCCGGGCAGATCGATTGGCAATGAAGTGAACCCTGAAGACAAATCCTTCGTTAGGTTTTCTAGTTTGTTAAATACTTGTTGATCCTCTGTGTCTAACATGAGCCTGCATGCCATTGTGACCGCATACCTCTTTGCAAGCGGGTGAGCCTTGATCACTTGATCATCATCTTTTCCATCTTCCCAGTACATATCCAGATGTTTTTTGGTGAAAGTGTCCATGGTCCCAACATACTTTTGGAGACCCGCGGGCTTGAGATATGGAGCCATAGTATTGCGAAATCGGGTGGACTCTTCGGTGATGAATGCTTTCGCTTTCTCGTCAGGAGCAGAGTCGGCAAATATGAGCTTGTCCAAGTGAGGCGGCCACCATGACTTGATCAGCTTCTTCTCGTTTGAAAACAGGAACTTGTTTCCGGCGGCAGTGCAGAGCACGGCCATGTCTTCGAACAGCAACGATGTCTTGAAGACCTTGCAATTCGCAGAGGAGTAGTAGGAAGAGTTCTTGTACTTGTTCCTCCTGTCTGCTATGAACTTTTCTGGGACACCCTTTTTTCCTGTCCTTAGATACTCGAGGGTTTCACCTATGATTGGCCAGCCTGTGCTTCCCGGTGGGAGTTTATGCTGATCAAGTCGTTTATTTTTCGTGCCGTTGACACGAATCTTAAAAATGTAGTAGTAGAGAGATACACACACAAGCACAGAACTAATTAGGATCATGAGCAGCTCCTCCATTATGCTTGATCTACTTATTTATATTTGGATCCTTATTTATAATGGAAGGATGGACATTAGAAAGCAATTAGCTTTAATTAAGCAAGTTTCAAGCTCCAAGGAAATCGTGATTTTGATTTTGTAAGGAGTGAGAGAGCTAAATTTCGAATTCTAAACCCAACCCTTTTACTTATAGCTAGCATAGTGCACCTTGCACTGTACTAACCTCTGTTTTAAAAGCGAATTTATAAAAAATGGCCAAAATTTGACCCCCAATTTTAAAAATGTCAGTTTTTGTAAAATATTTCAAATATAGCAAAAAATTTACCTAAATAGGCACAAAAGCCCTCAAATTTAAAACCCACATAAACCGAAGAAAGAAAACCTTATTAGATTGGGAATCTTTGTACATACGTTTGCTGACGTATTGCTGCCCTAGTCAAACAGTGAGTGCAGTTCTTCCTTGATTCTTCATTCAGTTTCTTCTTCGTCTATTCTTCATACTATATTATATTACATATAGGGTAGACATCCAATAACAATTGTTTTTTTTTGGGGTGAATTAAACAGAAAATTGTATACAGTGAATCTGAATTATGAAGCATAAGAGACATAAGCCAGACTTTTTCCATTCACATCAAGATAAAAGTTTTCTCTGTCTGCAGATTACTGCACTTTAAACTTCCTTGCCTAACTTCTATGGTTTTTACTTCCCTTTTATATTTAACTTGCATTTTAGGTATTAATATGGAGTTTTAATTACAATTATGGCAGTTAATGAAATGCTTGGAATACATTATAAATAAAATATGAAGTTTGATGGCAACGATGTAAAAACATAGGAATATTATGACCTCTTATATCTTACTGGCCATTTAAGTTTAAAATTGGGTTTTACACATAGATTTATAAAATGATGGGTATATGTCTAGGAAATAAAAATTGTAGGGATCTATATTGGACAATCCCTAAATTTTATTAAGAAACCACAAAAAGGCACAATAATACAACAAAAAGTAAAATCCAACAAAGCTCAACATCAAGGATATAATTTTTTAGTGGAAAATGTTGGGAACATTGACTTATATCATGATTTGATTTTTCTTTGGCCTACAAATCAATTCTTTTTTGTGGAAAATTCTTTTGACTTTGTCACTCAAATTGTACAAATATGTGGTTGTGTGGCTTTTAAAAGGCAACGTGACCTGTGGGATGGGCTGCCAATTTTGAAACTTATTAGCTTCTTTGAGAAGCCAGTGCAGCATTTATGCTTGTGGGGAACACTCGGCGGATTGATCCATCAGAGAAGACAAAATAATGGTGTCATTCGGACAGACTTGGGCAATTTATCCGGCAACAAGTCTTTCAGTCATTTGCCAAGTTGGTCCCTTCAGCCTCGTTTGTTACAGAAGATTGTCTTGGCATGAACTATTCTCATAAATTGTCTTGGCTTGAATTGGCTTAAGTTGAATAACACTTAACCAATGTTTGGTGATGCTTGAATTGAGACTAAATTTAAATTGATTAAAATATCAATAAATAGGATGATATATTTCAACTTCTGTTCCTCTGTACAAATGTGGGTTAAAAATATTCCAAAATTTTATTTAATAAGGTTTATTTTTTAGGTTTATACGGGTTTTTAATTTGAAGGAATTTGTGTCTATTTAAGCAAGTTTTCTGCTATATTTGAAATATTTTACAAAAACTGACATTTTTGAAATTAAGGATCAAGTTTTGGCTATTTTTGATAAATTCTCGTTTTAAATTATAGAAAATTTGAACTAACAATATTACCTAGACTTTTAGCCCTATATGATGTCCACCAACTTTTATTTTAAAATTTTTGACTTAAAAGGAGATTACCACATGGAAAATACTTTCCTAATTCCGTAAGTAGAAACTTCTACATTCTTATCAATGACAGTTTGACATGTGTGCATAAGTTTTTCTTTTTGTACTTTCGATTAATTATTTTTACAAATGTATCAAACCATGATTTGTATGAAGTTCCCAGGAAAAGAGGCAAACAATATCCTTTCCACATATATGACCTAAACTTTCAATATTAGCCACTCACTGTTTTTTTTTGTTTCAAATGTGTGCTACTTACTATGTGAACTAAAAAAATTAAATTATGATAAAAATCATGATTAATTTGTTTATAGGAGTATAAAATCACCACCATGAGATATTAGTATATATGTGTTGTGTTTAATATTGGTGTTGTTAAACGAACCCTAAAATTAAGTGAGTACACCATATGATTTAAGTACACCATAATATTTTAATGAAAATATAATATTAACTAAGTAAACCTTATTTAACTACCAAAAATACGCCTAGTACACCCCAATACACTGTATCAAATAACACCAAACTCGTTCAAGAGCTTAACACTATCAGACAACTAAACCCACCTTATTATGATTAAGGTCTAAAATTTCAATGAACACGGTGCTTCAAGAAAGTACTAAAATTTCAATAACTCAATTGAGTGGTCAAATGATATCGGATTCAAGTGATTTTTTTGTAGTGATGATCTTTGAATGAGTATCTACAAAATAGAATGTTTAGATTAGTGAAATACAATCTGAAGTGGGCCCTACAAGGGGTGTCTCTCAAATAAGCTTATTTGAGGGATCCTTTTTTGTTATTTTAATAAGCTTATAATTTAATAAATAATTTAGTAGTATAGTGTACTCAATTCATTTTCAGGTTCGTTTAGTAGTATCTTTAAATATTTAATTTACTTCACACCAAAAGGAAAATGTATTCTATGGCTGTCTCGTTTGACCTGGCTTTCATTTACTGCCTTTCTTTGACGGAAGTACGGATTCTTGACATATATGCGGCTTATTTCCATACAAGATAAAATAAAAATATAAAAAAGAAGAAGAAGAAATACACGTGCCATATAATAAAATCTTTATTCGTAGGTGGTCCACATCCAACAAAGCTCCAACAAAGCTTGGCAGCGGCCATAAATTTGGAAAATTAGACTAAAACTTGGGCTCATAAGACAAGTCTAACAATATAGCTAGATTTGTCTTCTTTTTGCAGAATAAGTTTCATAATTACACGAAAACTCCTTGAAACTTTTTTATATTTTTTTTATTTGCATAATCTCATATTAGCTCCTTGGCACATGCTTACGTATGTGCCAATTGGTTTTCTTTTTTCTTTTTTATTTTATTTTTAGAATTAAAAAAAGATAATATGGGTAGTTATATATGTTCCATAAAAGTAAGACCTATTATCTGATTTTGTTTTTAATTTTAATATCAAAATGTGAATTTACCATATTATCCTTATTTAATTAATAATTTTAATTCTTTAATGTTTGAACTAACTAAGGGTATTTTATGATATTTTGAATTTTTCACTATTCTTTGCCTTTTACTTTATATATATAGATTGATTGTTTTGGTAATTATCTAGCATTTACATTTTCTTGACAATCATGTAAACCGTCCATATTCCTAGATCAAACGGCCACTATTAATGTAACCAGTGAAAATATGTAGCCCGAAAATTCCAGATTTCCTTGTATAAAATGTACATGTTTGGTTTGCCATGGTATATCACCACCTTTACCCCCATGCTAAAATAATTTTATGTCATATCTTATCACTTTTCCTCACTTATTATTTTCTTAAGCAAAATAAAGTCCATGGTACCAACATATCACTTACTCACGTTGAATCTCAGTGCAGTGCTAATTGGTCTTAACCACTTACAAGGCATGCAGCCTATTATTCTTGTTGATGACCGAAAGAGGCTCAATCAACTGAACAAGACATACCACCACCTAACAGAGCACAACCTAGTTGCTCGCTTTGACACCATCGTCACATCATCATCCAATTAGAATTTCTCGAAAAGAACTTTTGTGGTCTCCATTATGCATTAGAGAATAGAATAGGTTATGCATCTTTTTTCTTTATTGTGCATCCCTTTGGCTCTCCCCTCTTTTACCTATAACTTTGCTTTCTTTAGTTTCTCCACAACAGAAGTTTTAAGTAGTAAAAATTCCGTATTGTTTTTTAATTATATGTGAATCTATCAAGTTGGGATATCTATGGAATTAATTTGAATTTGTTTGGACCAAAAATAGCATTTTTACCCTAGAATAGGAGATATTGCTCTTTGAACAAGAATATAGCCAAAAAAAGGGCCAAGCATGATCAAGCATAGCTGCAGTCAGCTGCATTGTATCTGACAGTATATTTCTATTCTCAAATGAAGTTGCTTTCTTCATGTAAGATGTTCCTACAGATATCTACCATCATGTATTGAACAAGTATTGCATCCTCCAATGGACAAACACTGAAGCATGTGTTAGTGTTTTCACATATTTGGAAGGGCAGATTGATGAAGAAGAAAAGAAGAATTGAGAGCAAAGATTTCTGTGCTAAACGTGTAGCAGCAGAATGTTCTATTCCATTCACTATTCTCACTCTTACAACCTCACACACTTAGTGTGAGGAATATATCCGTTAGGCACAGTAGCTGGATCCCTTACATCACAAGGTGATCTCAGCCGTTCACTTAGGCAACCAATAGGAGGCTTACACTTGTCTTAAAAGAAATAAAATGAGAAACTAATTAAGCTAACTCTTAAATCAGCTTAAGGCTTATAATTCAACACTCCCCTTTAAGTCTTGAGTTGATTTAACTCATGTAGGGGCTTTTTTTCTTCTGGCAGCTGTAAATAGCCTGGGCTGCCATAAAGGGCAGATGGATGAAATTATCCTCTATGTCTGAGTTCGAAGATCAAGCCCTAAAAATGCTTCGAAAGGACAGAGATGCCTTATGAAACACCTTGGTTACCTTCACCAACAAAAATAACAACAGCTTACAGATATATGTTCTAGCTTAGCATGAGAGGCTTATGGCATGGAAGCAAAATTGACATGAGTTTAGCACTGAAGAGAAAGTTATGCGTTCTTGGGGGAAAAATGGGTGTTGAGGTAAGATAAGAAGGGTCTGCAAGAAGGTTTGGCTGAGAATGAGGGAAAGAGAGAGGCACTATTAAGTGTTAGAATAGTCTGCTAGAAGAGGGAAAATGGGGGAAAAGGATGAATAAAGCACGAATTTGCTGGGTTTTGCAGGTGAGAGAAGAAGCTTGCTCTCTGGATGTGGGTTGTGGCTAGTGGTGAAGTATTGGGTATTTTGGGTAATTTTCCAACAACTTGACAAAAGCTAAGTCAGACTCTGGAATGGCTTGCCAGAAGAGAAAATGGGAGGAGATGGAGGAATAGGACACGAAATTGTAGAGTTTCAAAGATGAGAGATGAAGCTTGCTCTCTAGATGTGGGTTGTTGCTGGTTGGGTAGAAGAGGCCTTTTTTATAGCCGCTGGAAGCTATCATTTTCCAAGAAACCCTAATGGTTTCTATCCAATTTGGCCAAGCTTTTTCCTTCCTTTTTCCTTCCTTTTTCCTCCCTTCTTTTGACTTATCTTATTCTGGCAATATCTTCTCTGCCCAATCTCACAAAATCAGGGATTTTTGGGAGCTCAATGCTCTTCTTGCAGCTGCCTCAGTGGAGAACTTCTATTCCCAGCCATCTCCTTCCTTTCTTTCCCTCCTTCTTCCATAGCCAGGTCTAATGAGGGAAAGAAATGGGTATGCATGCTGGTTCAAAGGGTGATTCCCCTCCTAGCAGTATGCGTGCCAATATCCCTCGGTCATTTAGATGTTTTTTGCTTGAAACTTGTTCCTCCATATGTGTTGGAACCTCCTAGCAGCTCTGCGTAGTGGACCTCCAAACTTCCCTTCGTGGTTTTTGTTCTCCAGCCAAGTGTTGGGGCTTTACAGGTCTTTATTGTAACTATATGGGCCTTCTAAGACAACAAGTTGTCACTTTGCCACCTGATCCCTATCAAGTAGCATGGTGGTCAGAAACAGAACATTAAATATAGCCTAGGCTAAGGGATAGGGAAAAAGATATCTTCCATAAATATCTTAGTCTCTCTCATTCCCCTTATAAATACCCCTCACCCATCTCTAGACAAAGGTAATAACTACTTTCACCAAGTAAACCAAACATACATTATCCTTACCCTACTGCCTTACCTGACTTCACCATTAAAGGGGGTTCTACTGGGATCATCCCCAGTTTTCTCCTATCCTAATAGTTGTTCTTAGTGTGCAGGTCCTCCACGAAATACATCCTAACCTTGAAGGAACGACATGTCATCTAGGGAAGGATACCTGGTTTACATTTGGCACCATCTGTGAGAATCTTTCTTTACAAACATAAGTTGCATCCCATCATCCATTTGAGCACCAATGCAAGCAAAACCAAGCCATGCTGAGGAATCAGCACCTTAGGAAGAAGGCTTCCTCGAGCGCAATTGGGAGAAATACCTAGAGGCGAATGAGGGAGAGGTTGAGGTCGGATCGTCTAAAAAGCCTTTAGGGGAGGATGGGCCGGATCTTGAAAGGTGTAAAGGACGTGGAGAATCTCAGCAATAACCTCTGCGCGCAAAACGAAATACTACAAGAAAACCAGGCCGAGTTGGTGAAGTAAGTGCACACACATTTAGAGCCTGAGCCTACCAGTACTAAGGATACTGACGGATCCTCATCTTCAATAGGAGCTGAGATGCTGAGGCGGAGACCGACCAACACGTGGAATATGCTGAGGGAGAAGAAGGCTTGGTGAGAGCGCAATAAACGCTGGTAGGGGACCTCCACAAAGGGAAAAATCAGGCTGGTTCTGAGGAGGTTGAGGAAGAAGTTGACGGCATCACCTCCAAGCTCAGAGACATGGTCACTGGCGAGCTGAGGAATGTGTGGGATCGGCGCAGGCAAGTCGAGAAATCTAAGATGCCCAGGGGACCCGAGTTCACCGAGGAGGAAATCCTATTACCACAGACCTAAGACATGCTCAAGGCTCGGGTGGTGGGGGATTCGAAGGCTCCGAAAATCTCCTTATATGACAGGATGACCGACCTATATGACCACTTGGATAACTTCCGCTGCGCCATGGAGGGGTGCAGCGCAAATGAAACAACCAAGTGCCGCCTGTTCCCAACAACTCTCAAAGACCCAGCCACAGCAACTGTCACTTCTCCTTGACCTCATTGTTCGCTGTTTTCACCACTTTGCTCGGCACTCTCCACTTCCTCACTTTCCGCTCTTCCCCTAGCTCTGTGATACTCGAAGTTTCCTCCAAGACCGACGAGCATATCCTCGCCTATCTGCTTGGCTACCTCATACATCTCATCCACTACATCAGCATCCCTATCATCCCCCCTAAAAGCTGACCCGCTACTCGAAGTATCCTGTGAGTCAGACATGTTTGATTGGCTAGACATGTTTCACACCGCTCCAAACGAGACACTTCAAACACAATCAAGGAAGGCAGGAGTGATATCCACAAATCAAAACATACCAAAAAATGGACTTTTGAACGAACACACACCCACAACCCAAAAAGAACGAAAGCTCGCAAGTTTTGAAGACGATTCTGGGCAAGCAGAAGGAAGAGGAAGGAAAGAAGAAAAATGAAGGAAATGAGCTTACTAGAAATACTTGCAAACATGGAGCGCTCCCTCTGCACAACCTTGAAGTACCACAAAAATCGCCTAAACACCATTCTGCTCCAAGGTTCTCAAACGGGATCAATGGTGCAAATGGTTGGAAAAAGACCTACCCCGCCCTTTTTATACTACGACAACCACACGATCCCCACCATCCACACATTAGGTACATGGCTCAAATGGCCACACGTGGCCGCACCTCCCCACCTATTAGACGAAGCAACGGACCACACCTTGATGCAACCCTTCACAAGTCTGCTATCAGAGGTCATTAAATGCACTCCTGCTCAGCCAATCAACCTGGGCCACGTCACCTCCACTCGAGTCTCCGAAATTCAAAATCTAGCGCCACTATTGATATTGCAAAGACCCTTCTCGACTACGGATTTGGGGGGCTACACTGCCGACCCCCTAAGACTTGGTTTAAAAAGAAGAGACAAAAAGGGATTGGCTCACTCAAAAGGCAAGGAAATCAGGCAACTCCCCATCCAAGGTTGGCTCCTTGAGTTAAGGAGTTGGGGGGGGTTGCTGTTAATGGCTCATACCATCATGGTGAGCCGAGCCCACTAGAGGGTGCCACATGGCCAAGGTAGACCAAACCACCTGTATACCGACCCGATGTATGATATCCTCGGCCTCGGTGAGGACCTCCCCTGTCGGAATATGACTACAATTATTGGACCAGTGCTCAGGTCTTTGACCATCGACCAGACCACTATGGCATTGTACCACGCTAGAGGCACATCAACGACCAGACCCCTATCAGGACGATCACACCGTCCTCGTGGTGAACAATCTGGCAAGTGGGAAGGGTAGGTAAATGCACGTCCCATCCCTGGCCAAGTGCCGCCCTGCCTATTGATCTCCGGATAGACATGCTGGTGATGGAAAGGGAGCATTTAATATACCTCCCATCTTTGCTTACTTGCCACTTCGCCACCTGATCCCTGTCAAGTAGCATGGTGGTCAGAAATAGAACATTAAATATAGCCCAGGCTAGGGGGATAGGGAAAAAGATATCTTCCATAAATATCTTAGTCTCTCTCCTTCCCCCTATAAATACCCCTCACCCATCTCTAAACAAAGGTAATAACTACTCTCACCAAGTAAACCCTACATACATTATCCTTACCCTACTGCCTTACCTGACTTCACCATAGGAGGGGGTTCTACTGGGATCATCCCCAATTTGCTCATATCCTGATAGTTGTTCTTAGTGTGCTGGTCCTCCACGAAATACATCCCAACCTTGAGGGAACGACACGTCATCTAGGGAAGGATACCTAGTTTACAATCTTCATGCAGCAACTCAAAAATGCAAATGAAGATTATGGCATATCTTTATGGTGGATTATGTTTAAACTCTAAATCCAATAACTTCTTATTCTTGTCAACAAAACATCAATCTCACTTTCAAATGCCTTAATTGACGCATCAAGTGATTAAGAACTCAAGACCTCTACCATAAAATATCAATCTCAGTTTGAGGCCCAGAGATTGGGCGTCATATGGAAGGCAAAGTTGTACAAATTCCTTATCAATATGTTCATTTTCATTCAAAACATGATAGTACAACAGTGTAACTTTATAAAAGCTTAACTGAATTTTACTGAGAACAAACAAAAACAATGTAGTCATTATGAACCCAGAATTTAAACCAAAATGTAAAAGCTTACCCCAGACGTTCAGCAACAAGGGGATGACCATATAGAACCAAAGATACCAACTGCAAATGACAGTTTCAAAGTAGTAGTGTGATTTATTAACAGAGGGAACATTCCATGAACATCATTTTGAGATTTCATTAAAGCAATGGCTTATAATTAAATAGGAAATTAGTTGAAAGTATAGGCTTTCTATGCCTGCGCTTAATGAAATTTTATGTGATGGATGGGAAAGAGTAAGGCAGTAAGGGCGGCCCTGCCAATGAGGCTCCAGCCGTCACAGGGTTTTGGACTTATCCCCATTACTGTCTTTTGTTTCAAACATGCAACCTCTTGTGACTCATCCGCAAAGAGTGAGGCGGTGAGCTAACTACGAAATAGAAGCAACTAATGAAAATTAAGGGCGTGATGTAATCTTAACTTGTAACTAACATTATTCCAACGACTCTCTTAAAATCTGCTTCAAGGACACGGATCATGTAATTGTAGAAATTAAATTTTGAACCTCTGCATAAATGGTCCTACAGAAGAATTACCTTAAATATTGAAACAGGAATTGTGTATTGCAAGGGACGAAAGAAGAGTCAGAATTAAATAAAAGGTATGATAGAAAATCTAAAAGTTAACAAAACTTATATCAATGAAGCCTAGCCTCACCATCTTATAACCTGCTTTTGTCACAGACCCAAAGAATTGCTTGAAAAATGCCAGCTGAAAAAAGGAGGATCTCTATAAGACATTGGATATGCAACATTGCTTATTACATTGGATAGAAAGGGATTTTTCATCAGCTGTTTGATACATCAATTATTTATTAGGAAAGGTTCCTTACAATGCATACTATAGTTTGGTCTCTAAATCATCAGATTTTGATATTATGATCCACATTTGTCAAAGTCTAAGAAACTATAAGAATTCTATACTAATATGACTACATGATAAACAAAACAAAGAAAAGGAAGCATCTGCCATATTTCCCTGCGATGAGATTGATAAAGTACTTCAAGAGTGTTTTAGGTTCTTTCAGTTGAGTTTTAAAGTTTGATGGCCAAAGATGTTATTGTTGGTGTGTAATCCTTCAGCCGAGTCTTTGAAGCTAAAGGAATTGTGTCTGCTCTGTTTCTTTATTTCTTTTAGTTGTTTATTTTTTTCTTCAGCTTTATTGTGCACCCTTGGATCACAGTCCAAGTATTTTAATCTCTAGCATAGGTTTAAGTGACATGTGTAAGCATCTAATAGGATGCTAGAACTTGAGCTTATTGTAAATATGGTACAGGGAAGAATATCTCTTTTTCTTCTCTTTGCCTAAACGATTATACCCAAAACAGTTTTGAACTGATATGAAATACACAGAAGCTTTATTCATTTTCTTCTGAGCAATGTTCTCTCAATCCTTCTGTGCTTTTTCCTTCTTTGCTCCCAAAATATCCAAAACATGAAATGCTGAAACTAAGAATTCTAACATGGTATCGCGAGCCAGGTTCGATTGCTGAGCTGGGAGTGAATCTGTGATTGAATCGGAGAAATTGGGTTTTGTTTGAGCTAGAACTTGGGCTCATCTGAAGATCGCGATTTCTCAAATCCAATGTCTAATATGGCAGGATCGAGTACCTCTGAGCTGCGAACTCCAATTTTCAATGGAGAAAATTATGAGTTCTGGAGTATCAGAATGAAAACTATTCTGAAATCTCATGGTTTATGGGATCTGGTTGAGAATGGGTTAAGTGACCTAGATCTGAAGAAGGAGAAAGAGGAGGCTGTAGACACTGAGAAGTCTATGATGGTGATGATGAAGGATGCTCGTGCACTTGGACCGATCCAAAGCGCTGTTTCAGATCAGCTATTTCCAAGGATTGTGAATGAGGAAACTTCGAAGGGAGCGTGGGATATTCTGAAGCTGGAATTCAGAGGAGATAAACAGGTACGAAATGTCAAATTGCAAGGGCTACGTAGGGAATTTGAATATACCCGCATGAAGGATAGTGAATCTTTATCTGTATATCTGGTTAGGTTGTTTGATATAGTAAATCATATGAAGAGTTATGGTGAGGAACTATCTAGAGAGAGAATTGTCCAGAAACTATTGTTTAGTTTACCTAAATCTTATGATTCTATCTGCTCTGTAATTGAACACTCTAAGGATCTTGAAACACTTGAGGTTCAAGAGGTTGTTGCTTCACTGAAGAGGTTTGAGCTCAGATTGGATAGACACACTGAGAATTCTACAGAAAAGGCCTTCACTAGTCTGAATGTTGGTAGGAAAAACCTTGACCCTAGTCTGAATGTTGGTAGGAAAAACCTTGAAAATGGAATTGCTTCTGCAGATCAAATATCTCAGAAAAATTGGAAATCCAACGATGGAAACAAAATGGCCTGCAAACATTGTGACAGATTTCATTATGGAAAATGTTGGTATGAAGGAAAACCTAAATGCCATGGTTGTGGGAAGCCTGGACATATGATCAGAGATTGCTATGGACACAAGAATGTGCAGAGAGTGAATTATGCAAATCAGGAGGAAGATTGTGGCACTTTGTTTTATGTGTGTAATGCTGCAACTGATGTGAAGGTAAATCACTCTTGGTATATTGACAGTGGTTGTAGTAACCACATGACAGGAGATGAGGGACTTTTGGTCAATATTCAAAGGAATTTGAGCTCTAAGGTGAAGATGGGAACTGGAGAAGTGGTCCCAGTTGCTGGAAAAGGGATTTTGGTGATAAAAACTAAGTTAGGCAATAAGCACATTCATGAAGTAATGCTTGTCCCTGGCCTTGAAGAAAATCGGCTTAGTGTTGGGCAAATGATGGAACATGGCTATCACCTTGTGTTTGGAGGAAATGAGGTGAGTGTTTATGACAATCAGTCACTAGAAAATCTGATTGTGAAGGTGCAGATGACAAATAACAGATGCTTTCCATTGACAATGATGCCTGCGAGTGAGTTGGTTCTAAAAGCAAGTGTCACACATTGCTTGCAGACATGGCATAAGAGGCTAGGGCATTTAAATGAAAGAAGTATAAAATTGCTTGAGAATCAAGGGATGGTTCATGGCTTACCTCACTTGGAGCAGAAGTCAGTTGTATGTGATGGTTGTATGCTTGGAAAACAGCATAGGGATTCTTTCCCTTTGGAATCCACTTGGAGAGCTTCAAACCCTTTGGAATTGGTTCACACAGACATCTGTGGACCAATGAAAACAGAATCATTATCTGGAAACAGGTACTTTCTACTGTTTACAGATGATTTACTAGAATGTCATGGGTGTACTTCATCAGAAATAAGTCAAGTGCATTGGAATGTTTTAGAAAATTCAAAGCTATGACTGAGCTGCAAAGTGGGTATAAGATAAAAGGCTTGAGAAGTGACAGGGGTGGAGAGTTTCTATCTGGAGAATTCAACAAGTTTTGTGAGGAATCTGGTATTCAAAGGCAGCTAACTATGGCATATTCTCCACAGCAAAATGGAGTGGCCGAGAGGAAGAACAGGACAGTAGTGGAAATGGCCAAGTCCATGTTGCATGAGAAAGGTGTTCCCTATGAGTTTTGGGCAGAAGCTGTAAATACAGCAGTCTATTTGCTGAATAGATGTCCTACCAAGGCTCTTAACAAGATAACACCATTTGAAGCTTATACTGGCAGAAAACCAGGAATTGCCCATTTAAAAATATTTGGATCACCTTGTCATATGCTTATTCCTTCAGCATTGAGGCATAAGTTTGAAGAAAACAGTCACAAGTGTATTTTTGTAGGCTATGGTCTCTGTGAAAAGGGATATAGGCTGTTTGATCCAAGTACTAGGAAGATAATTATGTCCAGAGATGTGCAATTTGATGAAAATGGCTTATGGAAGTGGGAAAATACAAATGAAGAAGAGATGGTAGTTCCTTTGCCTACTGAGAATCAAAGCTGTGAACCAAGTCAAAGCTTGGATACATCACTGCAAATGAATGAAGAAGTCACATTACGAGCTGAACCAAGTCAAAGCTTGGATACACAAACTCAAATAGTTGAAGATACCACTCTGCAAGATGAAGGCATAGGTGAAAGTTCTCATTTCTTTGATCACACACCAAAGAAATGGAGAAGTGTAAGTGAAATCATGGCTAAGTGTAATGTGTGTATTGTGGAACCTGAAAATTATGAAGATGCAGCTCAAGATGAGTCATGGAGAAAGGCAATGGAAGCTGAACTGGAAATGATAGAAAAAAATGACACTTGGGAACTTGTCGAGAGACCATTTGCTAAACCCGTGATTGGTGTTAAGTGGGTCTACAAGACTAAACTGAACCTAGATGGTACTGTGCAGAAAAACAAGGCTCGTTTAGTGGCTAAAGGCTACTCACAAAAGCCCGGTATTGATTACAATGAGACTTTTGCCCCTGTGGCAAGGCTAGACACCATTAGGACTTTGATTGCTCTTGCTGCACATAAGGAATGGAGCTTGTATCAACTAGATGTGAAATCTGCATTTCTTAATGGAGTTTTAAAAGAGGAAGTATATGTGGAGCAACCACAAGGATTTGTAAAGAAGGATGAGGAAACAAAGGTATACAAGTTACACAAAGCTTTGTATGGTTTGAAGCAAGCACCAAGAGCTTGGTATGACGAGATTGATGCCTATTTCAACAAGGCTGATTTCAAGAAAAGTCCAAGTGAGGCAACTTTATATGTTAAGGCAGAAGGTTCAGATGTTCTTATTGTTTCTCTATATGTTGATGACATAGTATACACGGGTAGCAACTCTCAAATGATTGAAGAATTTAGGAGAGATATGATGGAACACTATGAGATGACAGATTTGGGAGTATTACACCATTTTCTTGGAATGGGGGTGATACAGTCTAAACAAAGGATTTTCTTGCATCAGAAGAAGTATGGACAGAAGCTGGTTGAAAAATTTGGTTTGAAAGATTGCAAAATAGTGGCTACACCACTTGCAATGAATGAGAAGTTAAGTAAGAATGATGGAAGTGAGGCTGCAGATGAAGGAGAATATAGACAAATTGTGGGCAGTTTCCTCTACTTGACTGCAACTAGGCCTGACATAATGTTTGCAGCTAGCCTCTTGGCAAGATTCATGCACAATCCCACCAAGAAACACATGGGAACTGCTAAAAGGGTATTGAGATACATTCAAGGAACAATAGACTTTGGAATTGTATTTGAGAAAGGAAAAGAAACTACTCTTATTGGCTATTGTGATAGTGATTGGGCAGGAAGTGAAGATGACATGAGGAGTACCTCAGGGTATGTTTTTACTATGGGATCGGGAGTGTTTTCGTGGGCTTCAATTAAGCAAAATACAGTTGCTTTGTCTACAGCAGAGGCAGAATATATAAGTGCTGCAAAGGCTACTTCTCAAGCAAAGTGGCTGAGATTTGTACTTGAAGATTTTGGAGAAGAACAAATTGAAGGAACACAGATAATGTGTGATAACACATCAGCAATTGCTATGGCAAAGAACCCTGTTTTCCACCAGAAGTCAAGGCACATTAACAGAAAGTTTCATTTCATTCGAGAAGCAATTCAAGCCAAGGAGATAGAACTTGTCTACTGCAGAACTGAGGAGCAAATTGCAGATATTCTGACTAAAGCTTTGCCTAAGGACAGGTTTGCATACTTAAGGGAATTACTTGGTGTTAAGTCGGCTAAAGGATTAGAAGGGAATGTTGGTGTGTAATCCTTCAGCCGAGTCTTTGAAGCTAAAGGAATTGTGTCTGCTCTGTTTCTTTATTTCTTTTAGTTGTTTATTTTTTTCTTCAGCTTTATTGTGCACCCTTGGATCACAGTCCAAGTGTTTTAATCTCTAGCATAGGTTTAAGTGACATGTGTAAGCATCTAATAGGATGCTAGAACTTGAGCTTATTGTAAATATGGTACAGGGAAGAATATCTCTTTTTCTTCTCTTTGCCTAAACGATTATACCCAAAACAGTTTTGAACTGATATGAAATACACAGAAGCTTTATTCATTTTCTTCTGAGCAACGTTCTCTCAATCCTTCTGTGCTTTTTCCTTCTTTGCTCCCAAAATATCCAAAACATGAAATGCTGAAACTAAGAATTCTAACAGTTATGACTCACCAACCAACTTAGAAAAGCTGGATTGTTTCCACCACGAATCCGGATAAAAAGACGCGTGTGTTGATTGCCTTCTCCGAACTGCACACATAATAGGAAAAAGCACTAATGAAGCAATTACAAGTTGGCTATGAAAGAAAAGCTTAGAATTGGCACTTGATAATGATATGAACTCATGAAAAATGTAACATTGCCTTCTTCTGTATAGTACTCATTTGCGACAGAATCCTCCCAATGTTTCCATTCACGAATCTACTTCAATAATGAAAACATGAAAAGGCAAATGTCAAAAAGAAAAAAGAAAAGTAAAGAATTTGAAAGCACAGAAAATCATGACAGTATAGATATAATTAGTCTATTAGACAGACAAGAACAGCAAAAGGTAATAAATATAAGAAAGTTACCCTTGCCCTTGCAAAAAGAATGGTTAGGATAGAGAAAGTCGCATGCACGGTAGCTAGCACAAAGATGAACAACTGAAGATGCTGCCAAGCAGTGGCGGTTAGCAATGGGACCTTTCCCTGGAAAACAAATTAGATTAAAGGAGAAAATATATCAGATTCCCTGGTTCTTGGGTGTGTGACCACCCTTTGGCAGCACGATATTTCAAGTGCAAGAATGAAGCAAGGGCCATCCATTCAAGACTGTATACCACTTGATTGAATCTGTACTACCTTGTGATGTAATGCAATCCCAAAATTCTTTGAGAACAACTTGAAGCACGTATAAACACCCCCTGGTTTACTAACACACAAGAAATAAAAAAAATTATGTGTCCCACCTTAAAATTAGTATTCCAATACCGTCAAACGAGGAAATTGATCAACTATAGGGGGTAGTTGATCAAATTTCAATTTGTTAACCCCCCCATTCTTAAGTTCCCTAATTCCTTATTAGTTCCTTCATTCCAATTAACTAAACATGTCATTGATGTATTGTTTATCTTCTTGTAATTCGATTTACGAGGCCTTTTGAGATTCAATTCTATCTTAAAGATAGTAGTATTAACACAACTCTTTGTATCTAGAAAAATGACAACACATCTCTTTTAGTTGGAATCATTAATTGTACCTGTGAGTGTAAAACAATTTATAGAATTCAGTTTGGAGTGTGCAAAAGTCACTATTGTTAAATAATTATTGAGTAGTGAAGCTCCCTTTGATATGGTAAGATAAAAATCCATGTACTAAACCATAAACTTACAAATAAAATTATATAAAAATATATCCTTTTAGAAAGACAATATTAAAAAGGTATCAATAAATATATATATATATATATATATATGAAAAGTTTATTTAAAAGGCAAAGAAAGACACAAAAATTAATGATAAAGAAGTACCTCTGAACAGTCGCCCTTGGAGAGAGGACCTCGTTTCTTACAAGGCAGCCAATGACTGGCCTGTTTCTCCGTTATGCAGATTTTGCCTAAACGATCTTGAAACACCGACAGCAGCAGTGCTATAATCCCCAAAACCAACTCTGCACAATATATACACACCGGCGGTGATATATAAATACATATGTCTATGGAACTTCAAATATTCAATATCGATCAATTTGATATCAGTGGAGGGAGGAGGACCTTGTTTAATCTTATGCAACGCCTCAAACACGTTTTCGTGGGTCTTTTTCTTGAGATACTGCATGCAAACAAGTGATTATAAATCAATTAATCTCTCTCTCACACACACAAATATATGCAAGCATGCATGACTGATGAGATGAGAACTCAGATATATGTATGTGGATATGCATGTGCCTTGTCAGTGTAGTGAAGGATTCTCTCAACAGCTTGAGAGATGAACACTGCGACACAAGACACTGCAGCCACCACCCATGTCGGCGTGTACTCTAATGTTGTTTCTCCTTGTGCCATGAATGAACAAGATGATCTATCTTATGTTTCTGTTGTGTCTCTTCCAAACACATATTAACTGGTTTCTTGGTCCCTATATACTCCATCCATATACATTGCGGAGACTCCTTAATTTTCTTTTTCTTTTTCTTTTTTGTACATGTAGGACAATGTTGCTCATTTTGTGGGGGTTTCACTGCGCTTGCTATGTCCAAATTGGTCTTAAATTAGGAATTTAGGAGGTGGAAACAAGGAATAGGGTTGACTTGCTGACATGTATTCAGCAATAGAATACTTCTAATAGTTTCTGATTATATGTGAATATATAAAGTTGGCATCTGGATGAAAAATATTACAAGCAAAAAGGAGATGAATCTTCAAAACTACGTGGAACAAGTGATCTTCTCCAGGTTTCCTTCCACTTTCTGCATGTACATCAAATGGCTGAACTTCCTTCTGTTGAAGTTTTGCTACTTAATTTATCACTTTGGGGTTGAGTGAGACGGTGAGATTTTTCATTTTGGTGACCTCAGTGGCAGTTCAGGCTCAATTTCTCCTGTGGTGCCAACTTCCACTGACGACTCATTAACTGTCACACAAGCCTCTTTGGGATCTACACATCTCAACGGCTTGTTCCTTTTTGCTGATCGAGCCCATCCAATAAGGCCCTCTTGTATATGTTCTTCAAATATGGCCTTCTTGAATGAACTTCCCATCTTCATCATTGCAACCAAAAGATAGAAATCTCATTCTAAAATCTGGAAAAGGATAACAAGAAAAGGAATGCAATTGCAGCAGTTCTATTTAATCCTGCAAACCTCACCTGTGTGACAATTGCGTACAGCGGGAAGGTACTGTAACTGCAGACGAACTGAATGAATGCTCTGAGAATGGATATTGGCATTCAGGAAGAAAAAGGAAAAAGGTACATATCAGATTTATGAAACTGTGTTGGGACACACATAAAAACACACATATGAACATGATTTTACCCAATAATGAGTCTTGGGATAATATAACCGACTTTCCCCATTATGCAGGAATCAAATGAATATTGATACTGCAAGAGATTGAGCCACCAAATATCATAAATCTACCATTACCATTTTGATATGGATTAAAAATTAATTAGTGGGCAATTTTTAGAATCCATTCTCACCCATAACCAGAAGAAATATGCCAGTTGAAAAGAATTTTGGAACAAGATGATATGTATCAGGAAGAGAATCAGTCTGGGCCTGTGGAACCAAAACTGATCATCTGAAGGTTGAACAACCAAGTCCCCTTCGATTGCAACGTGCTTCTCAGCAACCTCATTGGCCAATTGAGTAATAACATGCTCCAACTTAGTGCCAACAGCAAGTAATAGCTGTAGGAAAGAAATCACCATAAATATTAAGTTCCCTATCCTTAGGTTCCTTGGTTTAGTCTACATATTTGTGGAGAAAACGCACAAAATTTTGGATGACTGGAAGACAAGACAAATGAGCAAAAATAGACCTCATGCATCAAGTGGCTTCAATTATACCTCACTACTACGAAGAATGAGCATATGCTAAAACAGATATGATCAGATGTGTCAAACCACCAATAATAGCCTTTCCCATGTCTTCCCTGTCTCATGCTCTGTAACCCAAATTAACAGAAAGTGCCAAGAATGACTTTCTGAAGCGTTCTGGTTTTCCTTCATGTGAAAACTAGTTTAACTACTCTTCCCCATCACTTATAAGGAGTGATGTGACTTTCTTCATTTGATATGTGCATGTGTGTGTGTGTGTGTGTTAATGTTGAAACTAAAAGACAAGTAAGGCTCAATGATCACTTAGGTAAAACACTTATTAATGACATTCATTTATAGTTGAGTAATTACATAGAGAATCATATCAGTGGTTTTATCTTTTTGTAATTATGATATGTTGAAGAAAGTTGAGGTTCCACCCAAAACCACCAATGGGGGGGGGGGGGGGGGGGGGGGGGGGGGGGGGGGTGGGGGGGGGGAACTCCTTATAAACCCAGGCTTGCTCCCTTAACTTTTCAATGTGGGACAAATACTCTCAACATGCCCCCGCACGTGTGGCGAACTTTCAAGCCTAACACGTGGACAACACATATTGGGTGACGTGAGAGCATGTGTGGCTGTTGGGCATAATACGTGAAGCCTTGCTCCCATGAAGGAAGTTGAGGTTCCACCCCAAAACCAATTGGCAATGGGGGGAATAGCCCAACTCCTTACAAACCAAGGCTTGCTCCCTTAACTTTTCAATATGGGACAAATACTCTCAACATGTAGTTGATTAATTATGCAAACATTTTAAGTCAAATAAAGTTCATACACAAAAAAGGCATTAAAAAGCATTTTGAGTTTTAGAGCACATATCGCATCATACATCAAAGTTGTAATAAAGAAAAAATCAGCACTGCATTAGAAGCATAAATTTGGAAAACTTACAATTAAGGGAATGAAAGCTATCCAAAAATAGGAATTCCAACCTGCATATAAAGATAATAAGTGTCGGTAACGACCTTCGTTCAACAGATTAAAAATGCAAGTGAAGATTATGGCAAGTCTATATGCTGGGTTCCTGTTAAATGCCAATTCCATCAACTTCGGATTCTTGTCAATAAAGACCTCTACCATAAATATCTATTTCACTTTTAGGCAAGGAGATGGGGTATCTTATGGAAGGAAAATGAACTGTACAACTTGCTTATCAAAATATTCATTTCCATTTAAACATCGTAGAACAACAGTGTAACCTTTAATGAGCTTAGCAGAATTTTATTGAGAAAGAACAAAACCAGTGTAGATGAACCAAAAATAAACCAAAATGTAAAATCTTACCCCAGACATTCAGCAACAAGAAGATGACCACAAAGATCCAAAGATACCAACTGCAAATGATAGTTCAAAACTTACAAAGATCCATAGAGTAAGAATGATTAATTAAAAGTAGTATGTTTTATAAACAGAGAGAACATGGAAGAGACATTTGAGATATTTTCGCTGCACTTGATGTGCTTGTTTAAACATTTGAGATATTTTTTATGCAATGGATGGGAAACAGTTGGGAGAAGGTCATCAGATGCACATAGCCTTATCCCCGTTTTAGCAGAGGTGCTCTTGTTTGCTTCAAACCTGTGACCTCTAGGTTGTGACTTTATCCTTAAAGAGTGAGGCAGTGAGCAAACCTTGAAAAAGGAGCAAATAATGAAATTAAGAGCATGATGTGATACCTTATTCCTACTACACTCTTAAAATCTGCTGCAAGGGCACGTATCATATACTTGTGGAAATTAAATTTCGGATTTCCCCTGCAATGGGTCTACCAAAGAATTAAGTACCATAAATTTTGAGACAGGTATCGTGTGGAAGCAAAATTTATAATAGAATTACAGGAAAAGAAGAAACAGAATTAAAGAAAACATATGATAGGAAATCTAAAAATTAAAATACTTACCTGAACGAAGCCAAGTCGCATTGTCAAATAATCTTCTTTGCTCACAGACCCATAAAATTGTTTCAAAAATGCAAACTGAAAAATGAGGAGCCATGAGATGATGGATCAAAATGTGCGATATTGCTTATAACACATTGCATAGGTAGGCTTTTGAAATTAGTGTTTGATATATCAATTATTGATAAGGAAAGGTTCCTTACAGAGCATAGTATATTTTCCTTCAATTAGTTTGTTTATCAGATTTTGATATTATGATCCACATTTGTCAGAATCTCAGAAACTCTTAAGAATTATTGTCACTGAAATATAAAAGTGATATAGAAGAAAAATTATCTGTAATGTTTCACTGTGTTAAGATTGATGAAATACTTTAAGAGTGTTATAGTTACTTAAGTTTTAAACTTTATCTACCAGGAAGACGGAGTAACTTGATGCAAAAAGATATTATGACTCACCAACCAACCTATGAAATCTGAGTTCCTTCCAAAACCCAGAACGCGACTCCTGATAAAATCATGATCATGGACAGCAATGACCTTCATTTTCAAAACTGCACACATAATATTTTAGTAATAAAAAAATATTTTAGAAAAAAGCACTCACCACTCAATCAGAGTTAGCTATGAAAGAAAAACAAAAGAATTGAAGCACTTGAGATATGAAGCTATGATACTATGAAGAATGTAATTGTTAACAGCATTACCTTCTTCTGGATGGTAATCACTTTTGATAGAATCCTCCCAACGTTTCCATTGACTCATCTACTCCATTGAAAGCATAGAAAAGAAATTTTTTTTAAAAAATTAATAAAATAAAAATTTGTAAGCACAGAGAAACTTGATGGCATATAGAATTAATCGATTAGACAGACAAGAAAAGTAAAAGATGAGAAGTTACCTTTGCCTTTGCAAAAAGAATGGTTAGAACACAGAAAGTTGCATGCACCGCAGCTAGCACAAAGATGAAGATATGAAGATGATGCCATGCAATGGCGGATAACAATGGGACCTTCCCCTGGAAAATAAATTGGATAAAAGGATAAAACATCAGATTTCCTATTTCTTAGGTGCGTGATCACCCTTTGATAGCATGATATGTCCAGTGCAAGAATGAAGCAAGGGGCATCTATAAGCCATTTAAGACGTAAAATAACTCGATTGGATATGTACTACTTAGTGACGCAATCAAATGCCAACATTATTTGAGAGCAAGCGAGCACACACAAACACACACAGGAAAATTACCCTAACAATTTATAATTAAAGGCTTTCTTTAGGCAGGCATCTACTCCCATTTTCTTTTTTCTTTTTCTCCTTCTTTTATCAAACCAATAAATTTGAAAATAAAATAAATCATGCCAAGTTACTCTGAAGTGTTCTCTCTGCCCAAAAATGTGGACGGTTCAAAAGGATTGTTAACAAAAACTAAAAGTTCAGGAATTGATTAAAGAAAATGACATAAGAATCTCCAAGTTCTCTTGTAAGGAATATCCTCAGCTGAAAATTTCTTGAAACCTCCCTATTGCAATACCTAAACTTTCCCGGGCAACTAGCTAGCTAATCTTCTTCCAAACGTCAGGTGATACCTGCTGAACTGCCCTCTATGGCAGTTCATTTTATGGTAATTTCAAGAGAAAGGGATGATGAGAAGATTTCATTTTTTGCACACAAATCATACAATGCACTAGTGGCTGCTGCTAAGATCAATGTTTGTTTAATGGTACCAATATCACCTTGATCCATCCATGAAACTAATCATAAATTCATAACTAAATCGAAAAGCAACTCATAATTGGCGAATTCGTAGGTTCAATTCACTTTTAGTTGCAAATGGGATATTGGCAATATGTATAATCAATAAAAAGAGAAAGGGAAAAAAGCACCTCTGAACAGTAGCGAGGAGCAGTAGTACTAGTACTCATGTCTTGTTTCTTACAAGGCAGCCATTGGCTGGCCTGTTTCTCCGTTATGCAGATTTTTCCTAAACGGTCTTGGAACGTCGTCAGCAGCAGTGCTATAAGCCCCAAAAGCAATTCTGCAAGGTGAATGTACAACATCATCTAGTTTATTGTAATTCATTAATACGCATATATCTACAACAGAAGGGTGGGCCTCATATATTCACTATCAATTGGATCAGTGGAGGGTGGACCTTGTTTGATCTTCTGCAAGGCCTCAAAGACAGGTTTCTGGGTCTTTTTCTTGAGATACTGCAAACATTTAATCATTTTATTTATAAAAAAACCATCATTGCAATTTGCAGATATGAAGTATACATATGATTCTTTATAGCATAGATCAGTTGCAAAAACCTACACAGTAACTTACTGGAGGATCCATATAAGGCCGAGTGAAGGCCAGTGCCCCCACTCAACCTTCTTTCTACCCATTGAATTGACCCAAAAAGCTGCTCGATAAAATGCCTCAAAGAAGCTGAGGCAAGCGCAAGCACGCAAGCAAGCAACTGAAATTTACTTAGCCTCTTCATCTCAACCCACCAAAAAAACAATTCCTAGATAAATATATATGCATGAAATGAGATGAGAAATGAATGCATGCCTTGTCAGTGTAGTAAAGGACTCTCTCGACGGCTAGAGAGATGAGCACTACGACACTGCACACCGCAGCCACCACCCATGTCGGCGTGTACTCCAAGGTTGTTTCTCCCTCCGCCATGAAAGAACAAGATGATGATCTCTCTGTCCTCCAAAGACAGGTTCCAGCTGGGTTGACTTGTTGACTTGATTTCTTGCTCTTGGTATACTGATTTGGTCAATTTTATAAGGTATTTCCTACTCCCACTGCATGTATATTAATATAAGTTGTTTTTTATTACTTTTTGGTTTGGAGGCCACGTGAGTGCCTCTTAGTATTGTACTCCGTTTCTGGTTCCACCATTGTAGAAACGTCCAAATTGTCCTCCGTTCATACTGGATCTGGATGGAGGTTGACATGAGGAGCAACAGGTGGGGCCTTGGGTTGACTTGTTGACTCTTTGCATTCATGGTGTTATTTCTGGTTAAGGAAAGAAAGAAAACTGGAACTATGTCCCGACTTAAAAAAAAGGTTTCCAAAACAAAACCTAAATAAGCGCAGCCCAAACTTAAAAAAGGTTCCGTATACACATGCTGCCTACCCGAGTCCCATATCTTCTCCCTCTTGGCTATATGCAATGCAGCATCATCTTCTTCTCTCTCTTGGCTTCATATTCTCTTCTTTATCTTGGGTTGGGAAGCAAGATCTTGGGTTGGGCTGCAGCAACATCTTCTCTTTGGCAGTAGCTTCTCTTACAGTGATACGGTACTACCACGTGGCAGTGCCAGGTGGTAGTACAGACTAATAGAATTATGACATCTGGCACTACTGCTATTAGAGAGAAAGAGCGGTTTCATTAGCACGAATGTTAACGCCGTTTACGCTCTTCCTTTTTTTTTTTCTTTTCTTTTTTCTTTGAAAGCAAAGTAACCCTAAGACGTGAATTGTCATTGGAGTCTGCACCAACGTTCAGAAAATACTTCTGCAGCCGAAGAAAAGGACCACCTGCCGCCCCAAAAAAATAAAAGACTTGCCTATGACAAAAATGGATAATGGTAAATCAACCAAACAATCCTTTACTTTAAACAGCTCCTTTTTTTTTCCCCTAATTTCTGCATGTTGTTTCCGATTGTTGCAGGCTATAATTTTTTTTCTCGATTTCTGTTGGTTTGTTCTTTTTACTATTCCGATAAAGTGGAACTAGATTCACAAATACAGTTAGTTGCACATATATAGTCTAATTACTTTTACATATCTTATTTCTGTTAACTTGTATGAATGTTTTTTTTTTTTTTTTTTTTTTTTTTTTTTTTTTGTAAAGTAGCATACAGATGTACTTGTTAACAAGTATTTTATTAACAATTATACTCTTAATTTTTGTTTGTTTTGTTTTTAAAATGATGTTGTGGCATGTGCAAGCAGTTTTTGATATTGAGAGTGAAGAAGAAAATCCAATGATCATCAATCGTATGGAAAGTTTTGAAGAAGATTTGCTAGGAAAAGTTGTGTCCACTGAAGAGGAAGCTTATAATCTCTACAACAGTTATGCTATGAGAACTGGATTTAGTGTTCGGAGGGGACAAAAGAGATATAATACAAACAAACAAAAATTTGCGGCAATTTAGTTATTTTTGTTCAAAAGAAGGTTTTCGACTAGATAATGACCCTTCAGACGTGAGCATGGCTAACAAATTAGAGACGAGAACAAGTTGCGAAGCTAGAATTTGATTTGCCTTCCAAGATGACAATGGTATGTGGAAAGTTTCTCATTTTGTTTCTGAACATAACCATGAACTTGCTATGCTGGAAGAGAGGTGATTTTTGAGATCAAATAGAAAAGTGTCAGAAGCGCGGTGTGATTAAAACCATGGTGGATGCAAGAATAAGGACCACAAATACATACTCTTATTTATCAGAAGGAGTTGGTGGGTCTCAAAGTGTTGGTTTTACAAAAAGAGATTGCTACAATGTTGTCAATAAGGAGAAAATGGTCATGATTGAAGCAGGTGATGCTCAAAGCTTGATAAACCTTTTCAAGCGCAAACAAGCTGAAAATCCTATGTTCTTTTACACAGTGCAAGTGGATCAAGAAAACCGAATGACAAACTTCTTTTGGAGAGATGGAAGGTCATGAATTGACTATGACTATTTTGGGGATGTGGTAGTATTTGATACTACATATCGAACTAATAGGTATAACATGATATGCGCTCCTTTTGTTGGCGTCAACCACCATTGGAAAAACGTACTATTCGGTTGTGCTTTTTTATTGGATGAGAAAACTGATTCATTTATTTGGTTATTTGAGACATTTTTAGAATCAATGAGAGGTTGAAAACCGAAGACTATTTTTACTGATCAATGTCAGGCAATGGCAAATGGCATTGAAAAAGTTTTTCCTGGGGTATGTCATCGTTTATGCTCGTGGTATATATCTCAAAATGCTACAAGAAATTTGGGAAGTTATTATGGGAATCCTGAGTTTAACCATATGTTCAACAAGTGTCTTCAAGGATATTGTGAGACAAAATTGGAATTTCAGTCTACTTGGGATGACTTATTGGCAAAATTCAACCTTACAGGCAACCAGTGGTTGAAGACATTGTATAGTCTTCGTGCGAAATAGTGTCCAGTATTTAGCCAACATATTTTCATTGCTAAGATAAAATCTTCACAAAGAAGTGAGAGCACAAATAATGTTTTTCATCAGATGTCTACTAAGACAATAAGTCTTACTAAATTTGTGCATCACTATGATAAACAAGCAGAAAAAATGCGTTCAAGTAAATTAGAAGAATCTTTTCGTTGCAATCAAGAACTCCCTTCTAGAATTTCCAAAAGCAGTGACCTTCTGAATGATGCTACTACTGTCTACACAAGAAAAATATTCAAATTATTTGAAAATGAGTTTGCAGATAGTCTGGGAGTGATGATGCATGAAGTTGGAAGTGATGGTAGAATACACTCATTTGAACTTAATGAAGAAGGTCATAAAAGAGTTTACATTGTCCAACTAAATTCATTAAATTGCAGTATTTCATGTAGCTGCAAAATGTTTGAGTCTATGGGTTTATTGTGTTGTCACACTCTAAGGGTACTAAATGTGAAATGTTGGAGTCAAATACCAAAACAATATATATTGAAGCGATGGACAAAAGATGCAAAGAAAGGATTGGAGGCAAGTGAGCATGGTGAATTATTACAAATAAAGGGTAAATCATCGGTCACATTGCAGCGAAATACTTTGATGCGAACAGCTTATGATGTATTGACTAAGGCATCAGAGATAGAAAATACTACTAGAATTGCTCTGCAAAAATTGAGAGAGATAGCAGGATTGATTGAAAAAGAAATGATAAAGTCAAAGGGAGAAGTTAATGCAAAAATTCATGATAGTCTTGATGATTGTAATGCAACCACATTTGATGAGACGCCAGTACAAAATCCCTCTTGTGTAAGGCCAAAAGGTATAAGCAATGCCAGATTGAAAAGCGTTATGGAGAAAGTTTCATATTTTCTTTGATTTACATAAAATCCCACTAGTCTCTTCTTATTAATACTCCACAATGATGCTTTTTTTTTCAGGAAAAATCAAGCAACCAAGCAATATAGGCCCTTCATGTAACTCATCCCATGCACCACTTAGTTCAAATTTTCTTCATCCAGATGGTGTACCCATGAGTACAAATATTAACAATCATGTATGTTTTAAGATTCTTAAAATTATCTTATTATTTACAGTAAATTCGACTAATTGTATATATTATGTTACCACTGTTATATAGGTCTATCCAGCTATAAGCTTGTTAACTACCAACGGTCATGCATATTTGCCTCCATCTAACCAAGTAATCCAATTTGTTAGTTTAAACATCAAGTTTTGTGTTTTCATTTATGAACCTAGAAAATTTAATGGTGTAATATATATATATATATATATATATATATCTTTTAGGATTACAATTCTACAGGGACATTAAATCAATCTAATTTTTCTTTCACAAGTATGCTACAAAGTAGTGATTTGATGACACAGCTAAATCAGGTAATAATTCAATCATGATTATATATCTGTAGCTTATACCTTATGCCTACTTAGGAGTTTTTGGTTGATGAAGCTATATGTAATGCAAAATTCACAGTCTTATGGTTATGAGTAGCAACATAATCCACATAAGTAATGCCTCCTCATATTTTATAAGGTATTGTGTAAGAACAAATAGTTATAATTATTGTTTACTCAATATAAGTAATGCCTCCTTATATTTTAAGTTATCTAATTCGTTTACCAAAAATAAAAAGTTATCTAATTCGTTGACTCAACTTTATGTATAATTTTGGGTCCAGGTGCAAGAGTTGTTTATGCTTGGAAATCTGAACTCATTTTGATTTAAACTCGAATATACTTTATTATCAATATTTGTTATTGGTGTTTTTTCTATCGTATAACTTGCAATGAACTATTATGATCATATTTTTGTTCTACAATCACTGGAAGCATAAAAAAAATTTCTTATTTTTACTAGTCTTTACAAAATTTCTCATTTAGATTTTAGTAGAGTATGGGTCTAAACCATATAAATTGAAAAGCGTACCAAAAACATACCCATCAAGCTGAAACATCTTCCTCAAGTTCGTGGGACTGCTTGCTTGCGTCTCACAAGCTCACATTTCTCCTCTCTGCCATGCTCTCTCTCTCTCTCTCTCTCTCTCTCTCTCTCTCTCTCTCTCTCTCTCTCTCTCTCTCTCTCTGTGGTGCGACACAAGCACACACACATGCACACAGTGCACATCGAAAACACAAGCCAGCTGAAAGCACAAGCCATCCATAAAGCTAATTGATATTGTCAATCACAACAGCAAATAGAGAAGAATTATTGCTACCAATCAACACCAGATACACCTTTTCACTCCACTAACAAGGGATATCCAACAGTTTGCACCCTAAAAACATTAGAGAAACAAGCTCAATTAAGCAATAATATGCTCAAATTGTTTGTAAGGTAAAACAAAATAGCAAAAGAACAGAGAAAGGGTTGCTCTTGCTACCCAAATTGTTTGTGTTTGAATAAACAAAACAATTACTCAAATCATATGAAAGAAACAAAAAATCTGTTAGGACATATAGAATTAACCAAATCGTTCCATTAACAATATAACCAAACCAAATTAACTTACTCATCACCTTGGAAACTGAGAAATAAAATCATGTATCAGTTGCAATAAGGAAATGCAAGAAAAATAAAACCCCAAAAGTGCCAGATCATTTTTATATCTGCGGGTATGCTACGAAAAACAAATCTAAATCAAACTCCTTCCATCTCACAAATCAAGACATTCCAAATAACAATTGAAACAAAACCAAAACCACAAAAGTGAAGCAAACCATGCCAAACATATAAAACAAAAAATTGCAGTAAGATTCTAATTCGAAAAAAATTTGAAGAAACTTAAACCAAAAGACTACCAAAAATAAATGAATACAGAGAGTCTAGTTGGAAAACTGGTGAGAAAATCTTACGAAATGGAAGGTAGCCTTACTTTCAAACTTGGAGAAGAGGAGTTGGAGCCTGGGATTTGATTTTTTGTTTGTGTGTTTGATTATTTATGGGTCATCTTTTATTATGTCAGACATTAAAGATGTATAAAAGATGACCTATAATATAGGCCATCATCCAGTAAAATTCCTTCTGCCACATCATTTATAGGTCATCTTTTATTATTGTCCTTTTATTTACATATTAGACAACGCAATCATGCATCACATCATCCAGTTGAAAGACTTGAGTCTCAAAGAGTCGATAATAATCAAGATTTTAATATCAATTATATTGAGCGTGATTCAGGATTACGTCGTCTAATATGTAAATATCCGGTCAATGAACAAGATAATGTGCGAAGAGTTCTTTTAGGACTATGTCAACCCGAGTTAGAAGATTATCCAAGCCACTTAGAAGGGCAGAACTTTCGTCAATTTAATAAAAAATGGTTCGGTCAATTCCCTTGACTTGAGTATTCAGTTGCTAAGGATAATGTATTTTGTATTCCGTGCTTCCCTTTTGATAGGAATCAGACACATCCAACCTTTATTGTTTATGGATATTAAAGTTGGAAGAGAATTGATGAGAGTCAATGTGCATTTCAACATCATGTAGGCAAGCTAAATTCACTGCATCATCTTGCTATGCAAAAGTGGATTAGCTTAAAAAACTCATTTTTTTCATATTGAAAAATACTTTGGCAGAAAACTCTTTGATTAATAAGTTGATTCGATTGGTGTTGACTCTTTATGTTTCTACTGCAACAACAAAATAAGTTTTTTTGTTAAAGAGTTACTTCGAAGCGCCATAACTAATAAATTTCTTGTTGATTGCATGCTCCTCCGCATTGAAATAGAGTTCACTAATAATATGGATAATGCATTCATAATTGGGGAATTTAAGACTTCTAAGCCTCACAAGGTAATTTTTTTATTTAAATAGTATTGTTTTGTTTTGCATTACATTTACTTGTGGTTTTTGTTTTAATATTTTTTTTAAACTTTTATTTATGTATAAAGATGTCTTTAAGGGTAAGACTCATTATGTTCCCTCCTAACTATGTGAATCTTTTTATATTTATTAATGAAATTCACTTATAGAGTTTAGTATGTAAATTTTGCCCACTCAACTTTCTAATCCTAGATCCACCACTGTGTTGGGACCAAAACTAATGCTTCAAAGTTGGCGCGGTTGGTCTTGAGTTTTTTAAGTTCAGAGCTAAGGCCTAAATTATGATCCCCTATAGACAAAGTAACCACCGACTGCAGAGGCTTTCTTTGTTTACATTTAATAAGCATAAAGTCCACTCAAATATTTTAGTTTGAGTTTTTGTTTAGTAACAAATTTTAGATTTTAGAAAAACTGAAAAATTATTTAAAAGTTATTTGGTAACTTTTTTTAATTTTTTTTAAAAATTTAAAATGAAATGGTTATCAAACGAGCCCTAATATTTTTCTATACAATAGTTTTACAAATTCCTTTCCAATTAAAAAGATTAAACTGTTTTTTAGATAGATTCTCAAAACATCAGACCAAAATTTTCGTTTTTTTTTTACATACACATCAATTGCAACCATTAGAATTTTCAAAGAAAATTTTAACAAACCCGAATCAACCAGACCTAAACTATCCCTTTTTATACACATCATTCCATACCTCAAAATCCTTCTTCTTCTTTTTTTTTTTCTTTTTTTTAATAAATAATTTTTTTTTCTATATACCATCCTGCTCTGGCCCAGGACCGGCCTTATGGTTGCCATGCATCAGCCATAATCTGACAACACTTAACAGAATGATAAAAGTTTTAGTAATCGCTAGTTATCTGTTTTTCGGTTGACTCAACATGACATCAAGAAATTTCTAATCCTTTTCTTCAGAATTAAAAAAGCTAAAAATATTAGTCAGGTTTAAATATTTTTGCTAATTTTCCAGAATGAAAAAACTTTTGTTCTCAAACTTTTCTCTTCGACCCAGAAAAAAAAACAAGCATCTGCAAATTTTTCTAGCTCGAAACAGGTTTTTTGGGACAATTTTATGTTGAACAGTTGAAACAACCCACTGGAAATACAAACCATTACATTGCATTGATAGTTTCTAATGTTGCACTGGCACAGTGGAGCAAATTACAAAACATTACATCCCAGCTAAAATATACGCCGCCTTTTTTCTTAATAGTCCTTAAACTGTCAAAAAAAGAGGGTTGCACTAGAATGAAAACTGAAGATCACTAACTACTGCCTCTATGTTGAGGCAGCTGCTGCTGCTCCATTGAGAAAAATCCTTGAGATTTTTTAAGCCGAGACATTCGTTTGCGATGGCCACGACCTTGCTTGTGTTGTTCCCACTCGTGTGCTCCCCTGAGGATCTTGTCACCACAAGCCTAGCAATGGAAAAGTCATTCGCATACCAACTTAGCCAAATTCAACTGAACCAGCAGTATATAAGCACAACCAACAATAAATAAAAAAACAAAAATGCAGGACAGAGAAATCGAACGAATAAATACTGTGCCACTTGGTATTCAACCATTCCTAACCTTGCATGTATGCTGAGTCCATAAGTCCCTCTGAATCACATTCATCCCACTGCTGTTTGATGTATCCAAATCAGGCACCAAACTCGCATCCTGATTAAGGAAAGATCTTATCATTTCCACTGCAGGTACAACCGCTTCTGCAGCCCATGTATCATCTGATTTGCCTACAATATGTTTTAAAAAGGCAGAAAATGTTTAGTTGATAAGTTCATACAAGAGCAATATTAGGCTCCAGCCCCGCAGAACAACATAGAAACAAACAAAAAACAGCAGGACAAAGAAAAGGCCCCAAGAAGCCATACATAATATGAATTTCGTTGCATCAAGGAAATGTATGTTCCATCCAAACAACGCCTCCAGTCGGTTTATCCTTCGTTTCTGTGGAACAACAAATTACATTATAAGCATTCTCACTTTTGTTTCATGAACTGATCAACATTGTAAGACTTACAATTATTCACCATATCTTCTCTTCAAAAAAAAAACAAACCTTAGCTTAGTGACTATCGGGTAGCCTATAGGTTCCACAAAAAGTTTGGGAGATCAAAGGAATTTAACAAAGAGGAAAGACTTTGAAGTGCAAGAGATAACTTATACCTCAAAAGATCTAGAATTGGTTGTTAAAACACTGAAAATATCAAGGGCGTCATGTTCATTAAACATATAAATCTTTGAAATATTGAAGGATTTCCACGGATGAATAACGGCAGAAAAGGTGCTCAAATAAACAAGGTTTGTTCATAAATTGGGAGTACTTGTACCGAAAAAGTACAATGGCCAGAAGTTAAGAAAGTTTAGCCAATGGAATGTTTTCTACGGTGTAAACATCTATATTGAAAAGTAAGAAAAGAATTTCAACAGAAATTCATACATTAAAAACTCCAGTAAAATATGTGACAAAATCAATTTACCTGACGACGAACTAGTCTTCGGGTGTTCATTTTCATTTTATCAATAGCTTCGTTTAATGCAATTTTGGGTTGGCTGTCACTGAAGGACTTAAGGATTACCCTCATGTTCTCCTTCAGTATCTTATCAGGCAGGTCTACTGACTTCAAGGACATTGGCTCATCTATCAAATTATGTGCTTCATCATTGGCTTCAGTAACGTAAGCTCTCAAAAAAATTTCAAACTCCCGAACCCCAATGGCCTGCCGCAGACCTCGAGTATAATCTGCATTCCGAGTGAAAATTTCATAGACTTCATTAAGCAAACCAGCATCAATCATGCAATCTACTCTTTGTTCCACAAATTGGTCCAGCACAGGGAGAGCAGCATCCACGCATATAAAACAGCAATTGTATCTGAAATTATCAACTCGACCCCAGTTCTGCCAAGCCGCATGCAAGATTAAAGATCATGTTGGCTTCATCTTATTAATATTATTATCAATATGAGTATATTGGCAATGTAAGGAGGTCCAATCTCAATGTTCACTAGGGCAATTATATTGCAACTTTAAGATTGGGAAGAGTATGAATCAAGAAAAATCAGAAAACTAATATATGATCAACCAGGAATTTGGAGTTATATAAGCAAGTCCTGTTGCAATCCAAACTTTGACAGTGAACGCATTGGTTTAAACAAAATGAAGGACAACAGAAATGGTGCATTATGCTCAAGCTAGAATGACGTCATAAACGACACGTCAAAATCCAAGGAAAAACATAATAAATGGCCTGTCCAAAATCAAACATAGCTCCTCTAGGAAGGACACAGAAGGTTCAGTTTGACAGTGAAACACAGATATCATATTAATACAGACTAAAATTTGCACACAGACTAGAATATCACAGAATATACTAAGAATAGGAAAAGGAAGATTACACACTTCAGCAGCCTTTCCCTGAAGAAGTTGGCTAGGGAGAACACCATGATGAGCATACAGACTAAGGTACTGACTAATCTGCAAAAGATTCAACCACATATAAGATGTGCCACTGAAATACACATGCCTGCTACAAGGCATCAGGTGTAACATACCTACAAATGAACAGCACATAAAAGCTAGAAGAAAATTTTGCAACTCATTACACAAAGACGGGACTCCTAAATAACCATTTAGGACAACAAAAATTGTGAATTACCGGGTGACAACTAGATTAAAGGCACAATACGAAAATTTTATTACACCATAAGGACTACTCCACTCTACGCTGATTATCTACTGAAGGGTCAAATCTTTTGTAACCTTTATCCAAAAGTATCAATTTGAGAGAAAAAGAATCTAAGAAAACACTTATAAAGTTCTTGACTTGTAACACAGTGATTACTTCAAAAGACAATCTAAATTGAAGGAATTGCTACTTCACTATTTGATCACCTATTCAATAACTTCCACATATGAAGAGAAAGTTGGCAATTGGAACCACCCTAAAGGCACACGATGTTAAATCTAAAATTTGACTATCGTAACATGCATAATGTCCATACAACATTTTCTGCCTATATATAATATTGACATGCACAATATATGACCCAAAAATCGGGGAAACCTAGATAACCTCAAGGCAACCCCATATTCATGATCACTGATTGCTTAATGGCTCTAGCAGAAACATTAAATTGAGCATCCAATTTGTTAGACTGAGGCATATCAAACACACAAATCACTATGTACATACAACTAGAGGACAGTACATAATAATTCAGAAACCTACTTTTCTATGGTTATTTGGATGGATTCTGTTTGCTGCAATTGGATCAATGCCCTTAAGATGGTCATAATTATAACTGGAACTGTCTACTTCAGCAACCAGGTCAGCCTGTGGTTGTCCATCTCCTGGGAGAATAAATAAATAAATAAAAAGGCAGTGTGAGTGTATTTCTTTTATCCGAATAAATCATGTACTTAGAAAAAAGTAAAAAATAAATAACTACGTGAAAATGAAATATTCTTAATTATGAAAAAGTAAAGTGAAGTTTGAAGTATAAAAGTAGCTATTCACCTGGTTGATCACCTATAAAGCTTTCATCCATATCTTCTACTGTGTCATCTAGAAGGAATGGACTAACAAGAGCCTAGAGTAGTAAGAGGGAAACACCAAAACAAAAAACAAAAAAAACCAGAATAAGTGAGCTGGCAAACATATAAGTTAAATGGAAAAAAGTTATGTTGATTTTTCTAAAATTCCATGTCATCACTAAGATTTGCCCAACATGAAATCACAACACACATATATAGGTAACAACACCCTTCTATTCATGAGGAAAAGAAAGTAGTCAGTGCTGAAGCCCCGTTGGTTCTTGAAAAGCAATCACTTTTCAGTTTTCATTTTCACTGACAACTAAAACAAGGCACTTTTCTTTTTAAAAAAAATACTAGTCACTTTTGGAAAACCTTTTGGAACCCTTATCAAGAGAGAGCTCCTGGCTTATTTTGTGAAGCAAGCTACCAACAAGTACCTGGACTTGATCAAGAGGATGCACCAGCTCAAAGACAAAGACATGGCCACCGTAAATACTTCGTGCATGGCCTTGACTGGGACATCACCATCAAAACCCTGAGAACTGTGTTCAGAAAATATGGAAAGATTGAGGTTCCCATGGCCATCACTAATAAGATTTCAAGCAAGTCCAAGGGTAGAGTTTTAACTTTGGGTCGAAGAAATGACCGTCTTGTGCCTTTTGTGAAAGTAGAAGAATGGAGTCCTATATAAGAGTTAGGACTATGTTTCGTCTGGTTTTTATCCAACCGGTTAAGTTCCGAAGGGCTTTGTTTTGGTTTTGGTAAACATTTTCACAAATCAAAGTTTAGAAAGCCAAAATTGAAATTTACCAAAACATTCAGCGATATATTGTGGACATATGATATACGTATTACAAGTTCTAAAACTCTTAATTGCCATAATACAGTATACTTAATTGGAACTGTTAACTTATATTAGACTCTTAATTGCACACAATTCTAACATTATTGAAAAAAAATACTGAAATTTTTTAATATTTCAAAACTTGAAGAACAGACAGATTACCAATTGGTCTGATAATCATTGAAGTTGTTTTTCAAAACCCAAATTTTGTCTTTGTAATTGATAACCGTTTTCAAAAGGCAAAAAGTTCATTTTGGTTTGAAAGCCAAAAGCTAAATTAAACCAACCAAAAATTTGTTTGTTTTGGTTTATTCTACCAATTAACAGTTTTTAAAAGAATTTCAGAAACTGAAAATGAAAAAAGTTTTTCTTGATCAATACAATTTTCAAATGCCTTAGATTTCTAAACGAAAACACTCTTCTGGATAATGAAAAATGTTCACTCCACAAACCAAACGAGGCCTTAGGTTCTAAGCATTGGATCAATACAATTTTTAAATGCCTAAGAATAATTCTAGGGTATACAACTGGTGTTTTAAAAAATATGACATAACCTTCAGACAGAGCCAGCACATCACTATACTCTAGATTCAAGTATATGCACAAAGAGATGGCTTCAATCATGTTTTGGGCCAATCCACCAATAAATATTTAACAAACTAACAAAAGTTGAACGTTATCCAGAGCATGATCCATCAACTATAAAATCGTAAAAAATAATAAAATAATATGAAATTTATCTACTAACAAATGACAGAATGAAACAGGCTTCTACCTGGATATAGTAATTTGTGCCCCCAACTATGACTGGCAAGCAGTTGCGAGACAAGATGTCATTGATAAGCTGAAAACCCATATGCTGAGTCAATTTCAAAAATATACAGACTGCAATATTGATGAAGATTTGCAATGTGAAAATAGAAGGAAAAGAATGGAATGAAACAGAAAATATAAGATGGTACAAAGAATGCGCAATTGCAATCAAACATGTTTTCAAACACTAAAACTCTACATCTGCAGTTGTTTCCATAGAGAGAGAAGCTGACTACAGTCCGATCTGATCCATATCCTAGGACAGAAAATAAAGTCTTAGAAATAGAAATTAACTGTTTGCTAAGTCAAAGAAAATGGACATCGTGAACTTCATTGACCTAAAATCACTATACTAGCAAACAGCACCAGATTGCGTCTAATAACATTAAATTTGACTAGACAGGATTCCAATGATGTTGGTATAAGATTGGACTATACCAGATAGGGTCTAATTACATTTCACATTAGTATTTGTGATTTCACTTTTATAAAGATTGATGATTAAGACATAATCTTCATTAATTTATCAATACCAGACAGATTAACCAACTGAAAATTTACTCAACAATATAAACAAAACCAACCCCATGTTGCTTCACAAAGCCTTAGGAAAGAATTCAACTAGGACGGTCACCCGTCACAGCCCAGTTAGAAGGAGCTATTACCCTCACACCTATGACAAAAGTTCAACTCTTGCCTCGCCTCCCCAGGTCTAGGCCCCTCACCAATAATTTTCTAGAGAAGTCTCAAACATTAGACTAATACCAAGAATGTCTAAACTAAAGCTACAAGAATTTGGCAAATGCCTCGAGTTCAATACAAAAATCAATATTATACCAACCATTATCATCGAGATTTCAGAAGTTGGTCAGAGTAAAAAACGTAAGGGCTCCAAAGTGTAGCAATTTATTACATATAAGCGCATGTGAATTGTTGGGTACCTATTCTGTACATACACGAAACAACAACCCAAAAAAACATAAATACTAAAAACAGAAATGGAATTACTTACAGGAATGGAAAAGTCCCTGAAATCTTTAGCTGTGAACTCCACGTTTGGGCTTACAGTCCCAAGAAGATGATGAGGCACTCCTGCATCATGCAACCAACCCATTTGCACAATCAAAACTTACAATTTAATTGAACTTTATTCAAAAATAAAAAAGAAAGGATGGGAAGAAAGTAAGTACCTTTTTGTTCATGCAGTGGAACCTTGTTGGTGAGAACATCCAGACGATTGTAGACCTGCATGGAATCAGCGTTGATGACCTCGATGGGGAAGTGGGATGCCAAATCAATGGCCAGCTTGGACTTCCCTGAGCCTGTGGGTCCCATTATCACCACCACCTTCGGCTTCTCTTCATTGGGTCCAGGGTTTTGGGTTCTCTGCGTTTCAATGGAGGCAACGCCTCTCTCCATGTCTCCCTCCTCTCTGTCTGCGTTTCAAGGTACAAAAATTAGTTAAGAGGAGACTGGAATATGGACTTTGAATTTTCTACATGAACATAGGCTTTGGGCCCAATAGCATTCTCGTCTACTCGAGCCCATTTCATTGAATATTATTTTAATAAGGATCTCCCTAGAGCAAGAATTCTATAGTGAGGCTGTATATATGACTTTTAGGTAAGGTCCTATTTTTTAATTGTTGAATTAAATTGGTTAGTTTGATTCATAATTTTTATCCTTATATTTTTAATCGATCAATTTTGTCCTCCACGCATATGAGGTATTTGAAATCCTCAATTTTGGTCCTTTTAAGTTTGTTGATATAAAGCACAGTGTGAATTACATAATAAATAAATAAATTTTTAAAAAAATGCTTTAAATTTTTTTTTTTTAAAAGCTAAAAAAATTGATTTAAAAGAAAAAAAATATCCAAAATATAAATACTAAAAACAGAAATGGGACCATGGAAAGAACGCTGCAAGACAACGGCATAATGGAGGAATGAAAACTCTTACCACAAGTAGCAAAATAGGAGCAAGACACAATGTCTCCTTAAACTTCTCTATTGTAAGAAAACTAATCATAATAGGATTCGAAGAAAAGAAATTAACAATGATCACTCTTTGAATGGAATTTTCCTTCTGACCAAAAAAAGGAAAAAAAGAAGTTAACAATGATGACATTGCATCAAACAAGTTTGAAGTATTGATAGCTAGCTAGGTATTACTTTAAGCCTTTCCTACACATTCTTTTCTTGTATAAATCTTGTCTCTATAATCATCTTCCTACACAAATTAGCCCTTCATCACTACTGTTTCCGGCATTCGACGTCAAATGGCATCTCAATTTCTTAACATCCGATAGCCGGAGAGGCTTTAGCAAGAACTCCTCAGCTCCTTCCTCAAGGCACCTATTCAGGCCAATAAATGTGAGGGATCAGTAATTTAACTACTAATTAATTTCATCATTTAAGAAAGAAAAAAAAGAAGAGAAATTTAGAATGAACGAGGGACAAAATATATAAATTGGTAGTTGAAGTGCAAGTTGCTTACTTCTCAATTCTGGTGGGTATGTTCTCGGATGAAACAACAATTACTGGTATCTGCTTCACTTTTGGCGATTCCTGTTTAGAGGGAGAGATAATTGGCAGGCTTAGATTAATTAGATTAATTAGTCAACTATAATGGCATACCAAATAGTTATCTCATGAATTTCATGTTTCACATGGCATGTTAAATGTTCAAGTCATGATTAAATGAGTGATCAGTTTTGCAATATTAGGGTTCAATCAAGAGTTAACATTACCTTAATTTTTTTTAGAAGCTCATACCCTGTCATTCCCGGCATACAGTAATCCGTGATTATCATGTTTACATTTGAAACCTGCAAAAACACGGATGCACATTGAATTTACGAACGTTCATCACGTGACAGTGTGACAGTTCCACCCCCAAATATTTTCAAATGAAAAAAATATAATAAAGGCAGATGAGGTTGACAAAATCTGCTTATGGTAAATTGACTTACGGTGTTGCTAAAGTTTTGTTGCCCGTCTGCCAGGCCCAAAAGTTCCAATGCTCCATGTGCGTTCTCTGCTGTGGTCACTGCCATAACAGGTACCCCAATATTATTACTAAAATTTATACCATAATTATATATATAATGAGTAAATAAATTTTCCGTTTCTCTTTTTAAAAAAAAAATTTCTGTTAAACGATATGACAAAGATCAAAATCATAGAAAATACCAACAAGGGATAGCTAGCTCCCTATTAACTGACGCTCCTCATATTAAATCACACTAGTTTGGTGGTGCTAAAGCTTCTTCTCTATTTTCTTTTAAGGCGAACCGATATTTTTACGAGTTCACTTAAATTATATCACAGGTATACAATCATTACGACTAAATCTAAAATCCAACATATGTTATTTATAATTTTAACGGATTTGTAACACCACGTTTCGGCCACCAATTAATTTTTCGAAAGAAAAGAGATAGACTAGTAAAAAAGAAGAAGAAGAGAGATTATAAATATACCTTTGCAAGCAGAGTGGGTGAGTAACCTTTCAATGATTTTGCGGTCCACAAAACTATCATCAACAGCCAAAACATGTGGTACTTTATCGCCACTGTCCAACCCCATTGATGCAGCAGCAGCAGAAGAAGAAGGAGGAGAAGCAGAAACAGCAGCCATTCTCAATTAAATCTCTCGAAGCCCAGACAAATTAAGCCACGAAATAACAAACACAGCCCTTAGGTGAATATATAACCAAACAAGGCGTACAAAATCAGGGAAAAATCAGAGAAAGATCAAATTGTCACAGATATTTTGTCATGTTTTTAGGTGTTTGTTGTGATATATATATATATATATATATTATATGATATGATATGATATGATAAAATGTGTGTTTTTACATGAACATCTCCGGAAGGAAGAATATAGGGCCTCCTTTCAGATTCACTGCTCATTAGAGATTTTGATAATCCACTCCAGCTCATCAAGATTTCGTGTTCGTCTAATTCATTGATAAATCGTAAACTTCTGGGATTATGTATCCTTAATTGTATCATCATATATACTAAGCAAAGAAAGCGATCGTGATTAATTCCTAGTACGCAGGTCAATAAAAATCTATAAGATACTGAAATATATAGTATCTCATAAATCCTAGTATCCCACGAGCCAGGAAATACCAAAATTAGAGAGCAAGCAAGGGAAAAAATCGGCTAACAAAAAAAAAGGAGAAAAGAAAAAGCAATTTGTAACTATGTTCATTCTATTTAATCAAATAAAGGACATGAAAATTAGGCAATCTTTTAAGAACAATTGGCTGGTACAAACACACAAATTAGGTATGTGCTATTGCATTTTACATGTACTAAACTGTGATTTTTTTCCATTGACAAAAATTTAAAAATTAAAAACTTAAAAAATAATAAAACAAAATAAAATTTTATTTTTGACCATTTTATTAGGAAAATATTTAATAAAAAAAGGTTATCATATACCTGATGGCAACGGTGGAACTACCCATGGACTCCCAAGGAAAAATTTTGAAATTTTATTTTAATTATACCACATGAGCACTATCAAAAAAAAAGTGACAAATGTCACCAAATAATAGTGATTGTTGCCACTTTTTTTTTCTTTTTTTTTGTAGTGGAGTCATGACTGTGGGATAAGGATTTGGCATAATGAGCCACTGCGTGGTTTGTTTAAGATTTCATTGTGTCCAATTTTAACTCTTTTTTAAAAGATATTAAGCTTTGTTTTTCCTTCGAATGATGTTTAATGCTCCTTAATGCTTTGATTTTTAATGCTTTGTTATTCTCAACTGCGTGGTTTGAATGCTTTCTAACACTCGTATAATTGGTTTTTTGTCAAAGCTGTCTTTTTTTTTCTTTTCCCTATAATGGTTTCTTTTGTACTACAGTTTCTACCCATATGCATCTTCAATTTTGAGATACATCAAATTAATAAAATTTAGCCCACTCATTTGGAAATTCCTAATTTCGCCATTGCCTAGTGGACTCTTCATTTAGACAGGAGGGTGTGGATGATAATGGCAAAACCCGACCCAATCTAACTCGTTCCATTCTCATCTCTTAGAGCAACTCTAGCCGTTACCTTTGCCAAGGTAGGAGGGGGCCCAAGCCCCGCTTTTCTCTTTCAGCGGGCCTAAGCTGAGCAGGCAGCAGCTGGGTCCCACGAAAACAGGGCAGCCCAAAGGCAAAACGAGCCCGTGCTCTATCCTGAGTTTGCTGATGTCAACGATGACATCAGCAACAAAAAAAAATCTAAAAAAATACTAAAAATTTCAGAATTTTTAAAAAATAAATACTTAGTCATATTCTTCACTTCCCACACAAAAACTCTATACAAATTTCTCTCATCATATCTAATGTGAATAGTAGTTGCCATGGCAATGGGTGAAAACATCACAAGCCTTTTGCAAGGGCTACCATTATTCACGTGAATAATAACAGCTCTTGCCCTTTGCCATGACAAATGGATGGAAGTGCTCTAAAGTATTGAGCTTAAATAAACAAGAAAAGAAAGGATTTATTGAATAAGGTTTCTAAAATGTGCAAAATAACATAGTTCGGTAGATAAAACTAAAACAAGATTGCGGATAATCAAATGGCTAAACAATTCATGATTTAGCTTATTTTTTGCATGGGTCATCTTTGAAAGAGAACCTAAAACTTAAATCATTGTAATGATTAGATTCGTTGTGATGGTAACAGCATCACGTGATATTTACTCCATTCATGTTATACATGTGTACATATTTATTCATATTATTATACCGTAAGTCCATGACGTATTAGCCTCATCATCCACTCATATTATAATTTGTGGATTATTAACACCATGTGACGGTGTGACCGTCACATTAAAAAGTTTCTCTTAAATTACAAATTAGAAATAAGGTGTCCTTATTTTCCTTAAAACATAGACATCCTAATCCTAGCCTATCGACCAATTTAGGGTTTAGGGATGACGTGTGGACATTTTCCAATTGTTGAAATACATTATTGGGTAGCCATAGGGATGGGGATGATGTGTGGACTTTTCTTACAATAAAGATTCTTTTCTTACAATAAAGATTCCTTTAGCATGGAAAAACTCTCTCTCTCTCTCTCTCTCTCTCTCTCTCTCTCTCTCTCTCTCTCTATATATATATATATATATATACTTTGAGTTTATTTACTAGTTCATTCAACCTTGCGAAAAATGAAAGAAAAATATTATCATGAAGATGAAGTTTTATACCGTAGGTACGTCTTGATTAAAAAAAATAAGCTCAAAGAATTGTGGTATTTTGGATGACCAAACATCTTCCAATCTAGATTATGTTTATAGGGATCTTATTGTTCCACACTGCTTATTCCATTCGATCATTCTTTAGTCAGATCATGACTTTTCTTCAAGATTGAAATGTGAATAATATAAAAGTTCCAAGAGTTACCTTAATTAATAATTACGCATAGATCATTGAAATTAAAAGCAGGTATATACATGTCATTCACGGAACAACATTAAGGACAAAAACAGAATACGTATTACTTTTGTTGTGACTTTGGTGTTATCAATAAATTCATGTTATATATGTGTTAGTACATAATATTCTATTCACTAGGTATAGACCCGTCTCCAATTTCGTGCCACAATTTGAACTGGATTTTCAAAAATCAAATTATATGAATCATGTTATATATCCCCACTCCCCACCCACAACAATCAAATTCATTTGAAATGGTAATATAAAGACAATCGAACTTATTATTGGTTCAAGATATAAGCAAATACATGATGGTTGGTTGGTGCTCATTCTTCATCTCACTCAACTACCACAAACAAAAAATGACTTATTAGCTGAGAATTCATCACACTTGAATCCAGACGATGCAATTAGTTAGGGTTCCATTTAAAGCAAATGTCGTACTGGCTGGTATCAAAGTTAAACCTGCATGGCCCATTTGGTCGTATCTTGTAGAAACATTTACTGCAATTTGTTCCGTCTCTCCTGTCTATATAGACATCAAAATAGTGAGATGTACCTGGCCACTCAAAACTACAGAAGAATTGTGTATTCGAAGGAGAAATCAGGAGGGGGGAGCACTTTGACACCAAGAAAGATCGTCGTTTTTGGATTTGCAGTGAACGGTGAGGGTCAAGCCTCCGCCCAAATCATTTGTCACTCTAACATGTCTTTCCTTGGGACCAATATCTGCACCACAAATTGTAATTGTGAACAACAAAACCAGAGTACATTTCTAATGAACGAAGCCATGATTGTTTGAAGTTTTTGTTTTGGTGAAAAAACACTAAGACAAATCATGCTTTTTATAGTTGATAATTTGGTACCATATGGCCTCAAAAAGAAATTGTGTATGATTTGCATTTTTATGGTAATCCATGAGTTTATAGAATGGTAACAATGGTACACATATGAATATGAATATATGGAAAAAAAAAAAAAAAAAAAAAAAAATAAAGTTAAAAAAAAAAGTAAAATTCCATAATATGTTTTTATTGCTTATTTTTGTCAAAATTAGTAATTTATTAAGTAGATAACACATCAATAAAGCACATGGGGTAGCACCACAGTCCAAAAGTGGGCCAAACTCTCCCTCTCCCCAAGTGCATCTGGGTTCGATTCACATAGGAAATTTTTTTGAGATAACCCAATATAATACTTCTCCCCTCTCCCTCTCTATGTTTAGCATTCACGGATTTATGCGCATTGAAAAGAATCTTAACCACACGATTAATCTAAAAACTCACTTGTTACATTGAATCACTTACTCTTCTCTCTTACAGTCTTTCTTTCTCATTCACTTTTATAATTATATAATTTTCATTACTATCCAAATCCGTAAATTGTTCCCTTCATCCATATATATTATGAACCATGTATTTTTTGGTCGAACCACAATTAAGGGGAAAGACACATGCTTCTCTCCTTGACTTTTATGACCATGAAAAGAAATGCAAGGAAAGCTCAAAACTTGCTATTAAAATATTGAAAATTATTGAACCGCAATCAATTGTTAGGCTTGATATCAAGCAATTAACCTTTTTGGCTCCTGCTTTCTCTAAAAAAAAACCTTCTTTTGGCTCATACATTATCAACATCATTATTACTATTTTCCAAAACAAACATTGATTATTTATTGCCATTTGGTGCCACTTTGTTCTTTGATACAATGCAAATTGTGAGTTTAAATATAATACAACTATTCTGAGGCGGAATAATTGAATGGCTAAGATTTTTTAAATGCATATAAATGCGTGGATGTTAAATGTTAAAGCTTGAAATCCTGTATGGAGTTATTTCCTTCCACTTTATTAAAAGAGGTTTTCAAGTTCTAATCAAAAGAAAAGTTTTTTACTTTGTTGTTGTGGTGAAGTACTTCTAGGCCAAATCTCAAGTAGTGCTATTGTGCACGGTGTACTACATTGTAAAAAGATTAGCGAACATGTCAGGGCCTATGCCAATGGGGTGTAGTTCAGTGGAAAATGGTCTTAACTTATAAACTAGTCGTCTTAAATTCGAACCCGCAAGACACGTAATAATGTGTGTGAGCCCCCACGTAGCAATATTCTTGATGACACATCACTTTGGTGATTAAGATTAATTTCATAAAAATAGCTCCCTTTTCATTTCACAATTTCATTAGCAGACAAACATATCTCACAATTCTACACATACATTCAGTGGCAATATTGTTGGGGGTGTTTATGTCAATGCCAGAGAAAACCCTTCTTGAATATAACCAGTGAAATAAAGAGACAAAAAAATCAAAAAAATGATATCAAGTGTAAGCACAAAGGTCCTAATTACAGCACACACGCACAGGCAGCCCATCTTAATCCTTGATTAGCACATCTTAACGCAGAGTCTCTACATGTTTGTTCAGCTCCTCCAGCTTCTTCATCCTCAACTTCTCACTTTCACCCACAAGCTGACAGAAAACATGTACATATTTTATATTATATGAAAGCTCTTATTAGATTTAATTGCTTGTATTTGCAGGCAATAAGAATGAATACTCACCTCCTTCAATCTGGAAACTAGTTGAGCTTTCTCTTTGTTCTTCTCGTTTAAAGCCTCGAGTGCTTCTTTGTATTCTTTCTCCTGTGACAAATTTATAGAGCCATCAAGGGGCTTAGTACGCGAATAAAATCTTGCACGAAATGTGTTGGGGTTGTGTGGCTCGATACAAGTCATAGATGTGGAAAAGACCATGATCCTATATCGGACAAGTACCACAATAATCTACAGCTTAAAAGTAGGGGCGGTTCACCACTGAGTAATTTCAATTTCTTCTGTGATAACATGAGTAATTGCCAAACAACTGAATGAGAGCTATAGCATAAAGAAACCAACTTATAGAGAAAATGGTGACAAAGTTTCACCTTCCTCTGGCAGCTCTGGCCTAGTGGCTTTAACTCCTTGTTAACTATGTCTATCCTCTTCCGAACATTTGCAACTTCCTTTCTCATTGGATCTGTCAGTGCTTCAAGCTCCTAAAATATATCATAGAAACATAGTCTTGAAGCAACCTCCATATCTCATCATTGACAAGTTTTAGATGAGCAAATAAATAATATAACACATATTTTTCATCACATGAAATCTATATATACTTCTTTTTTCTTTTTCTCAATCATAAGCCATCATTGTAGACAAGAGAAAGACTAAAATATTAAACTCTTGAACATCCTAAGTGGAAGAGATAGAAACTTGTAATTTGGAAAATAAACCATTTGAATTCTAGCATAGTTTGGCAATTTTAGTTCATCACTTACTTCTTGAATCTCAGCCAAGCGCTTAGTTGTTTCTTCAACCCTTCCCATCTGAGCCTGGACCTTGTCCTTCACCTCCGACTTCTTCCTCTCAATCTCTTCCTCCTTTGCCAGGAACAAAGCAACCGCAGACCTTGACATTTCTTCTTCCTTGTCATCATTTACGGGGCTCCCATTGTAACTGACAATACCGGAGTTCTTAACTCGCTGCATCTGCGATTGCTGCTGCTCCCACATCTGTTTCGGCGTCGCCATTGGTTCCTCTGCAACACCCTTTCTTCTCTCCCTTACAGCACTACTCTCTTATCTCTCTCTCTCTCTCTCTTCTGCTCTTTTTTCCTTCAAATGATGGCTATCTTTCTCCTGTTGGAGTTGGTTATAGCAAAGCTAGCTTTAAAGGTATGGAACCCCCCCAACTTACTTTACAGCATTAACTTATTACAATTACCTCAAAAGACAAAAAACACCTACTTCCTTTATAATCATAAAGTTTAAGGGTGGGTTTTACCTTTGTTGAATGAGGACTTCAAAAACCTCTTATCTTCTTTTCCACCTTTACTCAAATTAATTATTGATAAAATGCATCAATTTTCATTTTTAAATAAATATAAACTTTGATGAAGGGTCTAGATGGAGCTGTTTTGGTAAGGTAGCTATTTTCTTAAGTTGGTATATTGGCAGATTCAGCTAACCAACTTCATTTCTCATGTCTTTCTGTACAAAATTACACTGTTTATTTTGCTTATATTATACTTTATTAGCCCACTATCCACCTAGGGTGCAGATGAACCACCTAGGGTGCAGATGAAGAAATACACTACGGTGTAATACGCAGGAACAGTTTTTCATAATAATTCTAAAATGAAGTCTACTTGTATGCCAGATATGATTTGCATAAGTGAAAATTGGTTGAAGGGTCTAACAGAGTATTGGTAATTATTCTTTGTCCATGAAGAGAGGTGCTTGGGGTGGAAGTTTTGTTTTGAGGAGTGGACTGTAAGGGCTCACCTACACATCAATACTGATGAGAGCCTTAGGGAACAAGACAGATTAGGAGAGATTGGCAGGCTAAGCTAGCTAGCTTCCTTTGTCACATTTAGTTCTCCTTCCAGCTTGGGCATACAAGAAAGGAGAAAGAATTCCATAAAACGGAGATGCCACTATTTTGCTATCCCTGGTCAATAATACTATGACACGTATAACACTTTCACGTGACATAAGATAGAAAAACAGTGTCATTGCAACTAAGTTCTTCTCTCTCCTGCAAGAAAGAATCTCCATTTGCAAACATAATTATATGGCTAATTACACCAAGGGTTTAGGTAAAATTATGAATGTTTGGAAAAGACTCAAAACACATACGTTTGGTGTTTTGCGTAGGACACTAACAAAAACCACTGTTATACGGTAGACATTACATGATTGTTATTAGAGCCTAACGCAGTGCGTCTACTGTATAGAAACTTAAGATTTTATTTGGGTTTTGTAATTAACATTCTTAATTTCCAATTTCATTTTTTCAGGCATATATATATATATATGCATATATTTGATATTGTTTTAAATTTCCAAAGCCAGGTACACCACGCGTTTGTACTATTTTTGATTCCACATGATTAGTTGATAGGATTTGGGACCCTATGAGCACTTGGTTATGAGTACATATCATGCTAACGAAGACTTTTCAGCATAACACAGTATGGTCCTGATTTTAAAACCAATCTTATAAATGCATCAATCTTTTCTTCTCTCTCATTCCATACAGTACAGGTGGTGGACTATATGATTAGTATTGCGACATCCACTTTGTTTTTTTTGGGTTTTTAATTTGTTTTAACTTTAAACCAATCTATCCATGTCTGCCCTGTTGTTGGGTCCATATCAAATTTGCAAAGATTCTGAAAGAAAATAATAAAAAGAGAAGAAAGAAAGGAACAATTTGACCACTTTGATTGAGTTTGGTGGTGGCGGGACTAGATTTTGAACAATGTGGCAAAATGTCTATGCTTGTTTGGTTGCCATTTCCTAGTGATTCTCTTGCTCTTTTGTTGGTGGTGGCCTGTGCTGGGCCAGGGTGGTCAGAGACCAGTTGAAGCCAGCAGGGTCCGCATGTTCACCCAAAAGAAGAGCCAGAATTTGCTTGATTTCATTTTTGTTTACATGTGACCAGGAGATTTAGACTAAGAACCTGTTTTGGAAGATTCGGATTAAGAATCTCGTTCAATTGGAAACTTCATCAAAATTTCATTCAAATAAAAATCTATGGACCTTTAAAATTAAAAGTTTACTAGAAACACTCGATTTTTCATAACAAAATAGACCAAATTCTAAGAAAAATCATATAAAACTAAAGCGAAAACGAGCAAAAAGGCAAGGAGGAAGGAAGAGGCATCTATCATTCCCTTGTCATCGGCACCTCCCCCTCCGTCTCCTTCCCCTTCTCCCCACATTGCCGGCCACTCCTTCACCTTGTCCTCTATCTTTTTTATAAATTAATCTTACTCATCACACCCATAAAATTTATGTAATATCAATTCTGCACTTGTTTACTTGTTGATCAATTTTAGATTTCATAAGAGTTTCAAAGGAAAAAAAGAAAGAAATGATGATGTGAGATTAGTATTGAGTGTACAAATTTCCCCACGAGAATATTCGATTGGAAAGATTCCCCTTTCTTCTTCGCCGCCTCCTTCTCCCTGCAAAATAGAACCAATAAGAGGATCACACCCGGGAGGTGTTGGCCAAAGGCCCTCCGATGCCTAAATTAGTTCAATTGAATCGTATAGAAAACAATAGCTAATATAGGGTACGGAGATGTGTTTATAGTGTAAACCGGGCGGCCAGAGCCTTATGTAAAAGAGAGAGAGAAAGGAGGTGGCTAGGGTTTGAGTGGAATTTTTTGCAGAGTTTCAGTAGGGATTTCAGACGTACCTTTACCCTTGTGTGTGGCCATCTTTTTATAATTGTCTTGGAGGCTAGGGTTTCAGAGGAATAATTCCGTAGATAGAAGGGAATTATTCCTCCCCTTTATGGAATTGATTTGATTAATTAGGGATTTGATTTATTAGGGTAAATCAAATCCCTAATTGTGGTAGGTATCAAATCAAATCCCATTTTAATTAGGTAACTCCTCATTTAATTGAGAATCGGGGTAGGAATTGGGAATCAATTCTCAACCCAATTAGGTAATCTTCAATTTAATTGGGTAATCCCCAATTAAATTGAGTAACTCTCAATTAGGTTGATTAATTCCCAATTAGGTCAAATAATCCCCAAATGGAATGAATTATTTGACCTAAGGTTTTGATTTGATTTGGTTACCACAAGTATTTAGAGCACTTTCACTCATTTGCCATGGCAAAGGGCAAGGGTTAGGCAATGAATGTTAATATTCACATGAATAGTGGCAGTCATTGCAAAAGGTTGTGGTGTTTCCACCCATTGCCATGGCAACCACTATTCACATGAGATATGAGGAGAGAAATTTGTATAGAGTTTTAATGTGGGAAGTGAAGAATATGACTAAGTATTTATTATAAATTTTTTTTGAAAATTCTAGGTTTTTTTTTAGATTATTTTTTTAAAAAAAATTTGTTGCTGACGTCAGAGTTTCAAAGGATAAAAAGAAAAGAAATGATGTTGTGAGATTAGTATTTAGAGCACTTTCACCCATTTTCCATGGCAAAGGACAAGGGCTAGGCAATGGTTGTTACTATTCATATGAATAGTGGCAGTCTGCAAAAGGTTGTAGTGTTTCCACTCATTGCCATGACAATCACTATTCACATGAGATATAATGAGAGGAATTTGTATAGAGTTTTGGTGTGGGAAGTGAAGAATATGACTAAGTATTTATTGTAAAAAAATTCTGAAAATTCTAGGTTTTTTTTAGATTAAAAAAAATATATATTTTGTTTCTGACATCATCACTAACGTCAGCAAACCCAGGCTAGAGGTCAGGCTGGTTTGGCCTTGTGTGGATCCCACAGCTTGTCCTGGCAAGCGTGGCCCGCTGGGAGCACTTCCCTTCCTTGTCTTGCCCGGGCTAGGGGCAAAGGATGGAAGGGCTCCTCCACACATGGATCATTGGGATAAGACTCATGTATGAGGAAGTGTCTTATTGATCTATAAAAAAATTACGTATCTTTTCATATTTGGGGATTATCAAGGTTCATGTTATTAGTTCTAATTAATTCGTGTCTTTACATAGTTAGGGATATTTTTTTAGTACAAGCAATTGGGGAAGAAGGGTTTACACAATTTTTTTTTTATATTTATGGGTAGAGGTGAAAAAGTTCAACTAACTAAGCTATACCCCACTGGTCATATTTAAGGAGAAACAATTATATGAAACGAGGATATCACTATTTTGCTATGCTCATTCAATCATATTATCCCCGTTTCATACAAGTTTTTCTGCATATTTAAGTGTCTTTTCATGTTTAGGGATTATCTAGGTGTAATTATCTAATCGTAAGTAGATATTCAATAAGCTATATAGCCCTTTATTCCTGGCTATTTTTAATCAACAAGGCATAGGGCCCCTCTGTCAAAACCCACAAGAGGTGTATCTAAAAAAATTTGAATCCAAATTGAAGCACCCGTTCTTCAAACCAAAAACAGATCAGCCACTCCGCCCAATCCGAAGTGGGTAAAGCCAAACCAAAGCAGCCCAGAACTGGTCCTCCAAAATCCAGCCCAAGTAGACGGTTGCCAGAGATTAATTATCCGTCCATAATTAACGGCCTAGTCTATCCAAAAACTCAAAAAAGCCGGAAAAAAGTAAAATCCCGCTAATCAAAATGCAAGGGTCCAATCCCATGCTCTCAATCAAACCTCCTGCCATCTCAGGTCCACCAATACCAGCCCGCCACATCACCAGACTTACCAATCCATCTCCTACCTGATCACCACCTCCTTCTCCACGCTTCCCACAAACATTAAAATCCCCCCAAAACTACGGCAGCAGGAGCAGCAACAGCAGCAACAGCTCTGTTCTTTACCAAACAAAAAAGAAAACAACCGCAGCCAGCAGCCGGACCGCCCACAAAATTTTCTCAACTTTCTCCATGCACACGACGTCATTTAACACCTTTACTTTTTCTTGAGTTTCATTCCCCGTTTTCGTCATCAGCTTAGGAACTCAGTCGTCCTCTTACGACGCCGTTGTTACGGTAGACTTTGCTTTGCTGTCTAGGCGTACGGTTAGTGTTTTGCTTTTTCTCTCGTAGTGCTTTTCATGAGCAGGCGGAGGTTTGGGGACTATCCGAGTCGGTCTTCGGCTAGGGACCGCGAGGAGACCGACGAGAATCGTCGATCGTACTCGGGTCGGGTTTCGCGTTATTCACGACCCGAACCGGAAGCCCGGGTGGAGTACGATACGCGTCGTTATCATGACGGCGGCAGAGATAGGCAGCCGCTGAAACTGTCAGGGTTGAGCGCGGATGTGCCTGTCTCCCAATCGACGTCGATGAAGTTTCAATGGAACCATTTGCTCGCCCAGAAACCCGACGGTTCGAACCCGACCATGAATCCGGGTTTGAACCGACCAGGCTTCGGTTTTGGCAACGACAGTAGCTCTTACAGGCTGAATGCTGAAAATCGTTATGCCGGAGGAAGCGGGAAAAGTGGGGTTCCGGATCCGGGTGTGGACCCCAGCAGGAAATATGGGTATTTTCATGGTGGCTTGACGTCGCCATTGGCAAAATCCCATGTGGGTGTTCCAAAAGTTGACGATTTTAGGCATGGGGACCACCGTCAATACATGGGTCAAGAAGATAAGACGCATTCAAGTGGTTTAAAGGAGGGTTTTCGCGGCCTTTCAGATCAATTCAACAGAAGCAGAGAAATGGCTGCGGAGGGACGTATTGGCCTTGGTGGGTATTCTTCTCAAGGTCAAGCACCACGACTGAATGAGTTGCTGGACTCAAATTGGGCTCAGCATAGCCCAAATGGGGACTACAATGACCCTGGAGTGAAGAGAAGCGAGCATGGTGAAATGGGTACCTTTCCCATTCGTGACCTTCTCTGTAAAAATATTGCAAATAGTGTTGGAGAAGACATCAGACCTCCAAGCTATTTGAGGCCTAGCATTGTGGATTCCATTATGGACAGAATTGATGGTGCCAATGGCGCACTTCGAGTAGGTACTCAGGAGATTAGCCAGTGGAACCAATATCATAACTTTACAGAACAGACACAACCGACTATACCCAGTTATCAATCCTTGGGTACTGAACAATCATTGCCTGATTATTCTGAAGCTTTGGGTTCCAGTTCGAGAACCCGGGACTTCGGATTTGGGGGAGATGATGCTCTTGAAAGAGGGCTTGAAGCTTTGTCATATGAAGGTGCATTGAAGAGATTAGCTCGGCTTGAGGGTGATCCAGGTTTGGACGATGTGACCACTCTGGAAATGTGCGCAATGAGAAAACGAGCTCTGGCTAAGCGACGAAGAGGGAATGACTCAAAATCTGAGTTGTTCCATGATTTGAGCGACTCTTGCAATGTACCTGACTTGAGTTATGAGGACAATCAGTTGACTAATGATGATGTAGAACAATATGCGACCATTGGAGAGGGTCAGTGGAACATTGACCAAGCTCTGAATTTGGGAGAGGATCGGCTGAATATTAACCCAAATATGAACTTTGGAGACTATCAACCGGGCATTGCCCGAGATGTGACCTGCGAAGAGGATCAATGGAACATTGAACAAGATGTGAGCTGTCGAGAGGCCCAATGGAATGCTGAAGATATCAACAAGTTGAATTCTGACAATGTGTTGCCATCCTCTAAAATGCAAGAGCATCATGGCGAACAATTCAAATCTGCCAGGGTAGATATAAAGAAGCGTTTGGGACCTTTGACATCATCTGGCAGTATAAGGAAGCGTTTGGAACCTTTGAACACGCCTGGCAGTGTAAAAAAGCGTTTGGGACCTTTGAAATCGCCTGGCAGTGTAAAGAAACATCTGGCGCCTGCTCAAAATGTTCCTGATCCCAAATACTTAGGTCATAAACTTGAAGATCAATACAAATCTCGAATAAGAGAAACAGATGATTTTAGTGGAAGCATTCATCTTCAAGGGGGTGGTCTTCCAAAAGTTGAGGGGAAACTTGCAAAAAAAGCACTCCCTGAAGATTCTGAGGAGTTCAAGAGGCTGGTAGATAGCACCTTTCTTAAGTACATGAAGGGTTTGCATGAGAACCCAGCTCTAAAAAGGAAATTCATGGAAGGAGAAACTGTTACTACAAAGTGTTGCATATGTGCCAGGTCTGTCATCGAAGACGTAATATGTTTCTATCTTTAAGTTTAAATTTTGCTCTTTCTGCTGAACAAGGATTCGGGTATGATTATAACTTATAGAAATTTAATATAGGATAAAACTGCCGTTAGGTAGTTTTAAGTTTTAGTTCTTGAATTTTCTGAGTATTGGCTGTCTTGGAGGGACTTTTCCAAATGTTGGTTGTCTTGAGGCTTTGACTTTGTGGCTCTTAATTGTTGGGTGACTGAAAATGCGAGTGTTAAGGTTAAATCTTTTTGAACTCTCTGCCATGGGAAGATAAGGTTAATTATTGGCCGAGAAGATTTTTCAGGATGTCCAAAAATTTAACTCCCACTACCACTGCATGAGTTGCAGTTTCCTTATAGTTGGTGAGTGCTATTGGAGGAGCAAACCTGAAATGGTTTTATTTTAGTTTCATGATGCTCGTGTAACATGACCAAGTGTGAATTCTCCCATCCACAACCTATAAGATGAAGAGGATGTAAATTATAGATGGAAGGAAAAATGATGGAACACATCTATTATTTTATTTTTTCATAAGAAGAAATGCTGATGAAGTTTATGGTCATGGCGACAGCGTTAGTAATCTCAGGATGATAATTACAGTCTTGGTAATGATGGGTAGTGATGTGTTGGCAGAAGGTAGGCAACCAGAGATGTTATTCCCACGATTTAAAGTTCATACTCTAACTGCTAGATTATTGAATTTTATCAGTCTATTTCTTCTTGTTGTAGCGACATTTTTGAAATTGCATCCGTGTACATTGCACACAGAATTAAGGCTTTCTTTGGGCTACCAGAATTGGCATATGAGATCCTTCTACCAGGGAAAATATTATTTATTGAACGGCTGATGCCAGAGTGGTACATTAGTGTTTGGAAATTAGAGCCTAGAAGACTATGTTTAGGTGGTTATGGTGTCAGGGAGAATATCCTTTCCTTTCTTTTGGGCATCTCTTTAGCTGAGTGTTCTATTTACCTCTATGCTGCTTGAAACCCAGGGTGGCGAGTGTGCCTTGTTTATTAATAAGGAATTTTTGGGCTTTCAAAGGAAGCATTTTTCTAAGACGTAAAGGTTTTAATTAAGTGATTAATACATTTTTGCAGATAATCCTGCTTATGCATTTTGTACTTGAATAGGATGGACTACTTTCATTTGAACTATAGTGGCAGAGGAGAACCAATGGTTGCAGAGACTTAGATTGAAAGATGTTTGCTGTAGGTTTGCCATCCTCTAGTAATCTGCAGTTCCTGCTTGCTACTTTATAAAGAGATCCCTCCATGGCAATCCATTTTTGTTTCTTTGTAGGTGGCTACATTTTCTGTGTCATCTGTGGTGCCTGGATAACCCAGTATTCCAAGTCTTCGGCTTTCTGCACTTTCAAATCCTGTAACCTAGTAACTCTTCACTCCTCCGGGTTTGAAGTTGGATTAGGAAGGCACTTATTTAATAGTGTCACTGATAGTATAGGAACTTTATCCATGTACTACTGCATGGTTCACACTCTAGGGATATTTTTCTAATATCTGAACCAAGATATTGGCTCTGTTTTTCCCCATTTCACCTCATGTCCTACAAACTAATTCTGAAGTGATTCAGACCAAAAAATGATTGAAGTGATGCTGTAGTTTGTCCCACGTTTTGTTGATTTAGGCTTCAAAGGAATTGCTTAATGACTATTCAATCTGTCTGCCTGTTGTATCAGCAACTCGAAAGAATTTCCAGGCACGGTACCCTTGGCAACACATGCCTTCATGTCACCTATGGTTGGTTCCAGAGCAGAGCACTTGGGTTTTCATAAAGCACTTTGTGTGCTGTTGGGATGGGACAGTGCAGCAGTCTCCAATGGTACATGGATTCAACGGTGTTTGCCTGATGCTGAAGCCTCGGCTCTGAAGGAGGATCTAGTTATCTGGCCTCCGGTTGTTGTCATCCACAACAGTTCCATAGCAAATAAAAAACCGGATGAAAGGGTGATTGTAAGTATTGAAGGGCTTAGGGCTATTCTTAAAGGTAAGTAACTAATTAAAATCTCCTCATCTTCCACATATCAATGACTCTCTTTTTGGCTACTCTTGTAGCAGGTAGGTTTAATGTGATTTCCATCTTCTCCACTGAGATTATGTTTCTTGTCATATATCTGTTTCATTCTATGATATCAACTTGTCTTTCACTTATCATTTCCTCCCAATTCCGAATTCTTCTCAGCACCAATTGACTTGCAAAAATCTTTTTGATCAGTTACAATATTTTGGGGAGGGGATTGGTTTTCCAAATTTAAAATCTTCATTATGATCCTAGTTTAGTAATGTCAATATTTAAATCATGAAGCTATCAGGGCAGTTGCATCTGTCTATCTCAAGAACCAACTTGCTGCCTTTATTCCCTTTTAACATGCTTTCTCTAGTCGACCTTATAGCTGGTGTAATGCTTTGTTGGTTTTTTGCATGACATGTTTTTGTTTGCTTTGTATTTTTCATCCCAACTTGTTGTGTAGGTATAGGATTCGGTGGGGGGAAGACCAAGGTGTGCCGCGGGAAACCTGCAAATCAAAGTATCTTGGTAGTGACATTTAATGCCACATTTTCTGGTTTGCGAGAAGCAGAAAGACTTCACAAGCTTTTCGCTGAGAACAAACACGGGAGGGTGGAGTTCCAGAAAATCAGTTCTGCTGGCCTCAGAAACAGCAGCAACGGAAAGCAAGAGTTGCTGGCAGATGAAGCAAATTGTTTATATGGCTATTTGGGAATTGCAGAGGATTTGGATAAACTCGAAACTGAGACCAAGAAGCGGTGTGTGGTGAAGAGCAAGAGAGAGATCCAGGCTATTGCTTGTACTTCGCTTAGAAACGAATGACGTCAACTGTATATCTATGAATTTTGTTTAACTCTCAAATGAGCCCTTTTGGTTTTTGTTCAATGGAAAATCAAAAATTCAGTTTATGAATGTAGCTCAAGGTTTATGAGCTGACCTGTTTTGTTATTACTTGTGGTTATTTCATTGAGAAATAGGACAAAAGCACTCACAATGTTTAGGGCTCAAGGGTTGCGACATCCCATCAAAATTTTATATTCTGAGCTTAATGCTCATTTTTTAATAAATTTGTTAGTGCAACAAATAAAATGAGCAAAACCACTATGTTTAATATTAAACATTTGTTTTTCCTTTGTCTCTCATAGACAAAAGTTACATGCAAGAGAAAATTGACTCACAGAAAGGCAGAAGAAATTACAGTTACAAATGAGGACATATACTGATACACCTATCTGAAGCATGTGGAGGCTTTTATCTCCTTTGAAAGTTAAGGAACTTGATGCCATAGGCAAAGACAAAGAAGAAGAGGAGGACCCAACCAACATGTGCAAGCACTACAGGCACAAGGAAATCATAGTCATAGCCCAAAAATTCCTTAAGGAATGCATCCACTGGCTTTGGTGCTGAACCAGGAATTTCAAGTAATGTCTTCTTATCGCCGACTTGAGACGTGAAAATGCCATAGATTGTCCAAGCAACTGGGGAAGCCCAGTAGTACCACCTCCACCATATTGGGATTAGCTGCAACAGTAGAGCATGAATTACTTTGGTCACAGATTAAGTTTGTTGGTACGGTTTGATTGTTATTGATTGGATGGTTACTATGTTGCCATCTAATTGATGATTAGTTGTTCTGTTTTTCAGACTGCAATGTTGTATCTTATCTGCTTTCTCATCCTAATAAATGAAGATTAGTTGTAATGACATACCGGCCTAGGAATGAGGAAACCTGAAAACAAGTTCCAGAAGCTGAGGAAGAAGGACATAACAATGGCAGCAATTTGATGGCCAGGAGTTAGTGCAACCACCATCATACCGTACATTGAGAAGTATGTGAAGCACATGAATATGAAGTAGTAGAAGTACAAGAACTTTTCCACCTTCCAGTCGTAACCAATCATGGAATAGAGCAGAAGAGCATAGATGAAGGTTTGTATTGCAACATAAATTGTTTCTATAGCCACCTGCAGCACAAAATGAAGAACATACGAGTGAACGAATATCATCATCTAGATTTACGGAGAGGATAAAATGTGAAACAGATAGACGTGCACCTATCTATTACCTGAGCAAATGCGTAAGGCAACTCAGAATACATCCCTGCTGCTCTCTCGCGATAAAATACTGTTCTCTCAATCGCCACAACAGATTGCACTGCAGAAGCATTCGAGGCTCCAAGGAAAAGAACAGCAGCATAAGTAGCTCCCAGCAGATTGATCAGGTCTTGCTGTTTGTGTCTGCAGACAATATATTATGCCATTTAGCTTCATATGAATTTCCATGTGCTATCTAAGTTTTTGCATCTGTTTATGGGAACATAAAGCAGTGTAGCTTGTTTTAAGAAACTTTGGACATACATCTGGTCTCCTTTGCCCCAAAAGATTATACCAAATAAGATACCAATCACAATTGTCATGAAGAACCGGATTGCATTGTATCGTGAATTCCTCCAGTAAGACCAGTGCTGTTTCCAGAAACAAGCCTTGCACTGAGTTATGAAGCTTTGTGAGTACCGCGTGGCGAAGTAAAGATCCTTGGAACCTGGTTGTGGAGTGCTTAGCTCCTTGATGAGCTCCTGATTTCTCCTGAAAAATTTGGGAAAACATCATGAGAAAATTCAGGACACACACGATGGGAAGGATTTTGAGAAGAATAAGATGCAGTATATTACTTACCTATAGAGGTCAGAATTGGCATAAACTAGTGCAAAATCAATTTTAAGTTGTGCCTCAACTGCAGTGGAGCTGATCTCTAACATCCATGTAGCAGGATTGTAACCCTCTTTTATTTTTTGAACCCCTGGAATAGCCTACAAGAGGTTTCAGATACCAGTCAAACTTGCATATATGTTCACCATCATCATTCTTGCCTTGTCCTAATCAAATGAACTCGGCCAATACGTAAAATCCCGTCTTCCATTTTAAAATAATACATGCAATACCTCCTATTAAATTAATTTTTTCTTGAGATCTTTTGTGCTATTTCTTCCCAAGTAGTCTTTGTGGCCTCTTGTTCTTTATCTTCTGTTTTAACTATCTCATCACTAATGTTCCATCCAAAGTTCTTACAAAAACTCACCTCAAAGTATATTCAAATTGAGACAAGCATATATACAAAAAATCACCTCAAAATATTCAACAAGTTTGTGAGAATGACGACCTAGGTGTCCAGCATAAATAACTTTTCCTCCTCTTTTCATCAAAAGCAGCTGCAAAAAGAAACAACATCAATTTGAGACAGAGCATAAAAACTGAAAAGGGTTGCGAACAGAACATTTACTAATACAATAGATTCCAGGGATGAAACTTACCTCATCAAAAGCTTCAAAGATATCTATGCTTGGTTGGTGGATTGTGCACACCACGGTTCGACCAGTATCTACTGTGTTCCTTACCGCTCGCATTACAATTGCAGCAGCTCTAGCATCAAGGCCAGATGTGGGTTCATCCATAAAGATAATGGAGGGATTAGCAACTAACTCTACAGCTATGGTGAGCCTCTTTCTCTGTTCGGTTGAAAGACCGTCTACTCCTGGAAGTCCCACTAAAGCATTCCTCAAGGGGTAAAGCTCAACTAGTTCCATGACTTCTTCAACAAACATCTATAAAATAGACGAAAATTACTGTAAATTATGATATGGCATAAGCATATTTCCAATAGTTGATAATATTTCAAACTTTAGGTTGGAAAAGTAAGTTGTAAGTTTGTAACAGGATAAATTTTTCCATACAATAATCATTTAGTACCTCTCTTGTTTCCTTCTTTACATCTGAAGCAAGACGCAACCACGAAGAATACAAAAGAGATTCAAAGATAGTCACATAAGGCGAATGGATGTCATTTTGTTCACAATAACCGCTAACTCGAGCAAATGTAGCTTGGTTCTTTGTGTAGCCAGAAATGCTAATACTTCCTTCAATGTATCCGCCAGTCTTCCTTCCTGACAAAACATCCATCAAGGTAGTCTTTCCAGCACCACTGACCCCTACTAATGCGGTTAGAACACCAGGCCTGAAAGCACCACTGACATCTTGTAGCAGTTGCAGTCTGCTCTCTACAACCCCTTTACTCTTCATTTCCTGATGGTAAAAGAACAGATCTATTAAAGTTTATACCTCGTCGTATATAAAGTTTATATCTATTAGTATGTATTGTTGTTTTTTTTAAAGAAAATGAGCAGAAACTCTCATTTTTAATTTCTGTTAATGTTTTGTTTAAAGATGTAAGTTCTCATATAGATTTCTTAAAATTAAAACCTCAAAGGAAATATAAGTAAAACATTGCTTACAGCAGGCATATCCACGTAGTAATTCACATGGTCAAAAGCAAGTGAAAGGGGCTGGAAGGGCAACACCATTCCTCTTCTAGATTGATTGTTTGAAGAACTGATTGAGCTAGCAGTCCCTCTAGCGTTTCTCACCTGATTATCAGTGCCTACATTTGCAGATATAAATTAGAAAAGTTAGAACTAGTGCTTCAAATAAATGATCAATTACTGGGAGCAGAAGTAGCATAAACCACCAACCTTCTGGATTGGATGTCACTTGCTTCTTAATATTGCTTTCAGAGTTTTCATCCTCAATTACAGCTTTCGAATCAACAAGTGCTGAAGTCGAGTGCAGGAAAGGAACAATGAGTACAGGGTTCCTCATTTTATTCAAAGCACAGAACCAAACTAGAGAGGGGAAACCGCGACTTACACTTTAAAAATGTCAGTGCTGCAATGAAAAGAATGTTAAAAAGGAGAGAATATCCCATAAGTGCTCCAATGCAAATCCAATACCAGTATTCATCTACAAACAGTCCTCTTTCCTTAAGGAGGGTCTTTCCCACTGTGGGTTGGCTAGAACCATTTATGGGCTGGGACAAGAGAATAACATGAGATGTAGGCAATAGCCAAATATATGAGCCAACTGAAGTTCAAAAAGAAATATGTGGAGTGTGTTTTTTCCTTAGGCATTAGGATAACTTACAGTGCTCCATCTTTTGTCGAGAAACTCATTGATAGCAATGGCATTTTGTCCATACATCATAGGAGAAATATAGTAGCCCCAAATCATCCATGGTTTAATGTCATCTGCACAAAGAAAAGTAATATTTATTCTTGCAACTCATTCAAAACTCTTATAGACTCATCAAAGAACCCACCATCGTGTTTTTTTTTTTCTTTGAGTTGTGAACATGCTGATCAATATTTGCAAGATTCCTGGTATAAAGCTGATATATGTAGCAGCTTACTTCAAATTCATGACAACTCTAACCCTAAAAGAGAGAGATTAATCCTTACTTTTGGAAACTATGAAGCCTCCAAGCACAAAGACCATTAGCAAGGTAAAGGTGCCAATTGTGCTTGCAACTATTTCTGTTCTTCCAACAGCTGCAATGAAACGGAAGAGGGAGAGAGCCATCTGATGCACTCCAAAGAAAGCCAAGAATTGTTTGAAAAACCTGTAAATATTGAAAATCTTTCAGCAGGAGGACCTCTCCTTCGTCAAACTACCAGATCCAGGCTGATTAAACCAATGAGCTAAAAATAGATAAATTGGAAGTTTAGCACCTACCTACTGGCAGCAGGTGCAAAACCAATGGTGTAGTACGTAAGAATGATCCAAATGCCCGACTCCACTAGTGAAATGGGAATTCTGAGGAGACAAATGGGCAAGCCAAAAGCCCATGCAGGGTAGAACAAAGCATCCCTTTGTTTAAAGAATAGTGGAAGCCTGAAAACTGTCATTGCAAGCTCTGCCATCCCATTAAACATGACATTGATGAGACTGAAAAACAGTGCTCCCCAAAACTTTGGTGCATCTTCTAAATGGCCT